TTGCTAGACCTTTTCCTATAATTAGCTTTGGTATCTTTTATCTATCCAACATCATCCTCTTGTAAATAAGATTTTTTGTTCAATTTACATTCGTAGAACTCTTCAAACGTTACTAGGAAACGAAGAAAAAACACTCAAGGTTTCATGACACGAGTTCATAAAYGTAAAACATGCCTTGAAAAAGTCTATCCATTTGGTCTGTTAACTGCTCTAAGTAAGTGCACTTCTGTTAGTGATATATCAGTCATAATGATAAAAGCATACTCAAAACACTAACTAATAATGGGATACCGAGGCGACATATCACTGAGTGTCCATATTATGTACTTATTRGCTGAGTGGGAGGGCCGTACGAGAAAATATTTGGCTCGAGGTGATGCCGTACAAATGACACGGAGTCAAATATTTTCCCGTACGGCCCGACGTAGCTCAGTCAATAAAATAGAGATTTTCGAGCAGGGCCGTACGGATTCGTACGGGTAGATACGGGTCATAYGATAATACAATCAGTATTTCGTCGTTGTTGGTTGAAAATATTCGTAAAATAAGATACAGCTACTCGATGAAACGCTTTGGAATCGAAATGCGCATGACACATCAGTAGTTCCACAGGCATACCAAACATATGAGCGTTGCTTGGTAGCCTGGGCCGGGTTGTTCAAAGCTGGATTAGCGCTAATCCAGGATTAACTCTATAGGTCTTTTTAAGAGTTAATCCAGGATTAGCGCTAATCGGGCTTTGAACAACTGGGCCCTGTGTTGGAGTTGACCAGCCCAGCCTTTGTCTACATAAACCTCAACCTGCTTTAACAAAGGCCCGATGCTACGAGCAGAGACACGGTTGGAGTCAGTTATTATTTACTGAACAGCGGTAACTCTTGGCTGAAGAACAGACAGTAAAACTGGCTCCTGATTGGCCACTTTCGATATCTTAAAATTCAGACTTGATTGCGGGGCTTTAGTCGTATGGTACAAACACTTGGATCACTAAATTGATTTATTGCTATAGGAATAAAAAAATGTACCATATAGACCACGTTCCTACCTTTTGCCAACAATAAGAACATCGTGGTAGGAATGCTAGTCAGTCCACTTCTCAACAATGTTATAATCCAATCCACAGTTCTGTATCTATTGATCCTTTTTAGTTTTAAATGTAGATCTGAACATGTCATTCCGGAGAGGCTCGCTATCGTGCTAGAATGTTAAGCAATTAAATAAATAATAATAAATAATAACTTTATTTTGTATTGCGCAAATTCTACATAAATACTCAAAAGCGCATCACAAACAAGTGATAGACTAAATCATTATAAATTAAAATATATACATAATTAGAAAAAGAAATCATAAAATTATACATACAAATGAGAAAAATATCAATAAAAATAATTCCTAAATAAAAATGTCTTCAGCTTAGATTTAAAAGATGAAATAGAATTGGAACATCTAACTTCAAGACGAAGATTGTTCCATAATTTAGGCGCGGCGCGCGAGAAAGCACGATCACCCAAAGTTTTCTTAGAATAAGATGGAGGAAATAAGATGGAAAAAATTAAAAAATTAAGGTCTGCGTACTTGGCCAATTTTCAATTAATTCGGACTTAACCATGGATTTTAATATTTACTTAGCAAATTTAATAATATTTGAAGAGATCTGTACGTTTTGAGTATCGAAGAAGACCCAAAGTGTTGCTTTGCGGATTTATGTTTAGATATATGTCTTTTGAAAACCCGCAGGAAAGCGATAAAGAACCAATCGCCTGGCATGTTTGAGTGTAGTTTATTAACACGTGAGAAGTACCAAGGTTTTGTCATTCGAATTTATGTTGAGATGTTTTTCTCTTGTCAACCCGCAGGACCACGTAAAGAACCAATCGCCTCGCATATTGTACAGTCTATAACACCGGTTCCACATATGAATAAAACATGAGTGTTATTCGTTTATACAGCTACTTTGACTCGGTTCTCGGCAACTATACGTGACATGGAGACAATGTGAGAGAACTGCGTTGATATCTAATGAAGTGCATGAAGCCAAAAGGTCTGATATCCTAATACCATTGACAATTACAAGTAAGTTCCAGGAGTTAAATTTTGCGACAAAAGCTAGAATTGTTTCCACCAAATTAGAAAGTGTGAAGTTCATTATTTTTGCAACGGTGGGTGAAGCTATTTAAAATTAAGTATCTTCTTTGATGGATGATTTCAAACATTCTCAGAGAATGGGATGAAATGTTTATGATATTTCATTGAAAAATAATAATATTATTTTTTAGTTTAAGAGCGCACAGAAATCTGAAAACAACTCCAAAATTCTACCCTTCGTAGCACGTTTATTGTTTTTGATTTCTTGCAAAAAATATCAAAAACAATGTTCCATTGCTAGGTGATTTCGCTCCGGGAGATGGTTATAATTAAGCTCGGACAAAGAACTAGCATTCACCTAGCGATAACCCATCGTTTTTTTTCGATTCTTGCTATGATCTATGACAAATTTCCGACTTCAGTTTTTCAATTGTTATGATATCTATCTACAGTTAAGTTAATATTTTCATCTTAAATAAATATGAATACAAATTCATTTGGAATCAAATATTCACGACATCACCGGCTTGGGGCTCTAAAATCTCCCCAAAAAGATTAGATTTTCCGACTTATTTTTACATCTCACCCTTCGTATTAGAATCATTATCTGATCATGTTAAATCCACGAAAGCAGCTGAGTGTTACAGTATAGATTAAGACCTATCTCAATATATACAATCAATATATTATATCATAAAGGATGATAAATGACCGACGCTCTTATATACACCAGTTATAATATAGCTCAATAATAACTTTCCTACTGCAACAAAGCCTTGGCTTCTCTCAAGTCATTTGAGCCTATTCGAACACAACCTTGTTAATGGCTCTGCGTCGTCTTCCTACGCTGCCACGCTTAACCCACAAAACACCTCCAATGAACGATTTTCTTTACTAAGCAGACGGAAGGCTCGTTTTTTTTCGTGCGCCTGGACGTTAGACAGCCTTGAGAACAAAGACAACTCATTGATGGTACTATATATTTTAAAATATTATCAAAGAGTCTTGTCGAGGTAACTCATTGTGTGAAACTTTGATTTGTTTTTACATCCATTTGTAATCAGTTGTTTTTTCTTTTTTGTCCACTTTTTTCTTCTCATTTATTCAATGAATGCTTAAAACGACATTCTTTAAAAGATCCTTTCTTTCTTTCTTTCTTACATGTTTCCAGTCTTTTCTTTATTATTTGACTAAAATTATTAAGGCTAAGTTAAAATCAGAATGTATACGTAAAGGGATAAACGAGTCAACAAAAACGTCCAGTTAGAAGATCTTTTAGCTGTCTAATTCCCAGCTGTAAAGAGTTAGTTGTGATATCTTTATTTTACCGGTAAAATCTTACGATTTTCTGAGCGATTGAGTAAATTTACGCAGACGGCAAGTACCTTAAAAAACCTTTGAGTCCAATCATATTGAAAAAATCGATATCAGATGCGTAACTATTTATGCCATCTAAAAGCTATCGTAAGCCCTAGAATCAGCAGCATCTCTGATTCTAATCTACTGGCCATTACCACCAAAACTACCGCAAAAAAGTAAATAATATAGCTCTATGTAAAAGACTATGGGAATTAATTTATTAATTTACCGCATTGCCCACTGGAATAGCAGCTAGTAGTCGTGATTTTCGGCGTTTCTGAAGTGCGCACACACAAAAAAATGACATGGATTTTGAGCAATAATTTACATGCATCCCCATTTGTACGGCTCATGGAATAATATGCATGAGGACTTAAGGAAGCGAAATTAGTGTAAAAGCAAATGGAAATCGAAAGAAGAAGACAAAGAAATATTGATAAAAGGTTGGAATGAGTACAGATGTTATCATGTTGCTATACTTAAGCGCTTTGTAGCTTTTACATTATGAGAGACCTGTACGAATGAGATGGATGGAGATTAGTAAAGAGATCCAGCTTAAATTCACTAAGTATTGCTCAAGCATGCAAGGAGTATACAGCTTCTATACAGTCTCTTTAGAATGATGAGATCACGATCAGGATACAGAGAACTGCAAAAAAAAAAAAAAAAAAATTGGCGTTTCTTCAGATTTTCAAAGAAGAGGCGCGTGGATCGCTGTAGAAATGGGAAGACGCTTATTATGTCATGCTGTGAAAAGTATGAATAATAATAATTATCATTATCATTATGATTGATCTATCTTCATCATCATCCATCAACACCATTCAACTATCATCATTACCCTCGTCATCAACACCATCGTCATCATTATCATTATCGTCATTATCCTCATTTTCATATCCGTCGTCCATCACCGTCTGTCATCATCTTCCATCAACACTATCCCACTATCATTACCCTCATTATCAATATCACCGTCATCAACACCATCGTCATCATCATTATCATCATCGTCATCATCATTTTCATATCCGTAGTCATCACCGTCTGTCATCATATTTCATGTCAACACCATCCCACTATCATTACCCTCATTATCAATATCACCGTCATCAACACCATCGTCATCATCGTCATCATCATCGTCATATCCGTCGTCATCACCGTCTGTCATCATCTTCCATCAACACCATCCACTATCATTACCCTCATTATCCAACGTCACCGTCATGGCCATCGTGCATACCCGATCATCATCATTCTCATCATTCAAATTCTCATCACTATCGTCGTCACTATCACTATTTTAGGCTTGAATTAATGGAGGACGTACAGGACTCAATATCAATATCAATATCAAATCGATGCGATGGGCATTTCCGTGCTTTTCCTTGAAGAACGTCATTCGCTTTTTTTCCTTTTACAATAAAAAACCCCGCTTATTAGAACCTAAAATTTAAGAACCTGTCAGGCTGAAATTTTCATTTTAAGCACCCTTGACATAAGAACCATTTTAGCCTGAAATTTCAAAACATTCCGTAATCTGTACTCTGTATGTTAGAAAAAGGGTCTGTACTTTGCAAAACAATAGAAAACAATAACTTGCTGTTGTGTATGATTTATGTGCTTTTAATGTTTGTACTCTACTATATTCCATGTAGCTACAATCTTGGATCGTCCCTGCGTCTTTTGGTTGTACTTTTTGAGCAATAAACCCCCCTTCCGATCAATCGTTTTCGAATCGTTTTCGCTGTCCACACGTATCCGGAAATTTCTTGATCCGCCCTGATACACGCTAGTGCCTAGTCCCTTTGACGGATAGTTTTTCTTATCGAGCATGCGCAAAATCGTGTTTACGTCAGTGTATTCGAAAATTTCCATTCGGGCTCCGTCCACACGTATCCCGAAATTTGTGTATCCCTATCCGGAAATTTTCGAAAACGGTCTCTAGGTCTCTCCAAGACCGAAGTGAATTGTGGGGATAGTATCATTGTCCGAAGTAGGGTTAATGATAATTTTTTATTCTATTTTTAGTGTATTCCATCTGAAATAAAATACTAACTACATGTAGAGAGTTAATTGCTGTATATTTACTTTTTATTTCAAATTAACGAGACCCATAATGCCCTTTGGTCTTGGAATGCACTATTCAGTCTGCAGTATTCAGTATTGAACCTTTTTGAAATAGCTGTATAATGGCTTTGTCTAACTTAGTGATGAGATTATTGTGCAATTGAATAGCATACGAAGGCGGTTAACCAAGGTAAATAAAAATTTATAAGGTTAATAAGTTGAATCACCGAGATATTTCCCAAGAGAAGTAAGAATGTTTGGTTTATTTCTTTGACAATGTTTTAGATTAGGAATAATTGGATCTAATTGGTTTTAATCTAATATAGCTACTTACCAACCTTTTAAAACATTAACACGTCTCTTGCACAAGAGCGTAATATCGTCTACATTTAATAAATTCCAGTTTACAAAGTTCTCATAAAAAATAGTGCACCGGCCCAAAAAAACTTGCGATTAATAAGTCTCTATGAATTTTTTTCAAGGAGGCTGACTTTTTACGGAACAGCGTCACTGTATCATTATTTCTGGCCTTGAAACTACGTAATATTGACACGTCAAAGACGATTAAAATAAAAAGATTTTCACCATCAATTATGGTGATGCAGAAATAAAGTATGCTCGACCAATCGGGAGAAAGCCTAAATAATGCAGAACTCTAAAGAAAGCCACGTTCAAAAATATGTTATTCCTCCAAACATAATAATTTTTTWAAATATTTTCAAATATACCTACGAAATATTGTGAGTCAACTTTTCAAAGTCAAAGTTTAGTCAAGTCAAAGGAATCATGCAATGTTGGTCATCATTATTCATTCGTTCGCGTCTTTTACGTGAATTGCCAAGTTTTCGTAAGTAGCTCTACATTATTGATAGGTCGCGTTCGTGGGCTCGGTAGAATTTCTCACTTTGTCAATGTTGAATGAGAATATCTTCAAACAACCTTATTGAGCGCATACAAAGCTGTGAGTACCACTTATCGCTTCCACCGTTTGAGAGGCGAATCTTTGTCCATTCTGGAACTTCAAGCATGTGTTTAAGTTGTATTTTACTAAGTGTAGACGGAGCGCGTATATCAATTGTTACTATACAGCTGACAGCGTCATAACTTACGGTCGCGAACGGAAATACATACACAGTCTTGCCTATGGTAAATACTACTATCCGTCCTTATAATCATATAGATTAGATCAAATTCTGATTCTACATATTTATTCGTATCAATTTTTTACTTGCACTTTTTTATATGCATAATATTTCTCTCTTTTTTTAAAATGCATYTTCCATTTAATTTAACATATTTTTTTCTTCTCTTGTCATATTTTTCTAGAGAAGATTTCAGTCATTACCTTATGAATAGGATGTATACTTTTATATAATAGCATATTTTATCTTATCTTTTGTGTGTACGTCTGTTTTTTTCTTTCACTACGTTTGGCTCATGTTCCCGAGTGAGTTAATTAGCATTTTGTTTATTCTGTCACCAATATTTTACGATTTATTCCATCCTTATCATATTTTAACCAATTTTCTGATAGCAGTCCTCGTCTTGATTTTTAAATAACATCTCAATGAACTATTTATCCATCGATAAAGTTTGTCAAAACACTTTTCATGAGGCAGTACTGAAATAATTGCAAACAACGACAAAGATAACGGAGAAAAACAACAAATTGTATGTCTCACTAATAAGGTCATGCACTCCTATAGTCTATAGTCTTAAAACGCTTTAAAGATAGACTGATTTTCGATAAATTTGAGGTCTAAGTTCTACACTTAGAGTACTTGAATCGTTATGATGATAAAGCATTTTTAGGGAACGCTTTCAAAGTGAAAAAGAAGAAGACGGTGTAAGCTGAATGTGTGTCGTGTCCAAGAAACATCATTGAGGACTGAATTTCGATACATTTGAGGTCCGAATCCTACATTTAAGAGTACTTGAGTTTTAAGACAAAATTGTTAAGATACGCTTTCAGATGCATAGAAGATGGTATCAGCTGAATGGGTGTCGAATTGTGATCGAGAAAAAAGCGAAGGAAAGGAAAGGAAAAAAACTCAGTCACTGATTATCGAATTCCGATTAGTGTCGACTTGGGAATGGGATTCCTATTTATCAATCAATAAGTTATGGATGTTGTGTCTTTGCGAACCAGTGAATAAGAGAAATGTGAATATTATCATAGTAATTGCCAAGAAAACGACGTAAAAAATTCAAAAATAGCGGCTGAAATATTAGGACGCCAGCAATCAACCAAAGCAAGATCATTTTGCTATCTATAATCAGTTTCTTGGCAGGATTTTCCTTAACTTTTTCTGACTTTTTCTGGGGGGGGGGGGGGAATCAGGAATTTTAGTACTTGAATCTTAGACAAGGTGATCGCAGTTGATCTTGTTTCGTTTTCTAAGAAAAGTTCGACTTCTAAAAATCACACTTGAATTTCATTCAGTTTAAATCAAAACGTATATACNAAAATTTGCAAGTGCTAGCGCTGGTAGGAACTTTTCTCTCGGTTGGTTTTGGAAATCAGTTCCACTCTTAGTTTCCCTTCGCATCCCGTATATACTTATTTCAATAAAGTTAGTCACCAAAAACCTAGAAAGCTGTGATCGCTGAGAATCATGGGAAATATTTCTTATTCAATAAAGTAAAAAAAAAAAAAAAAAAAAAAAAATATAAAAAAAAAAAAAAAAAAAAAAAAAAAAAAAAAAAAAAAAACTCCCCTTCATTCAGTTTCAAGTACTTGTATTTTCATTCAAATTGTTATGAAATTCCGCCCGTTTCACGTTTTATATGTTTTCATATCATGCAGCCAGTCATCCTGGCAGCTATCCATTCTATTAGTTATCTTAAATACCGTTATGACGGGAAATATCCTAAGTTGAACAAAAGAGACGCCACTAAGTGTAATAAAAAGCTACAGATAATGCCGACACCACGACACGCTTATATTATTGTGTTGATCTCTATAGGCTTGATCTACGTTGCGCTCAATTGCAATTTCTATAAACTAATTTTTTATTGTTACTTCAAATGATTTTCGATATTCTTGGGATCATAGCACCTGTTTATTTTTGGCTGGTAGGATACTAGAGAAAAACGTTTGCGCATGCGTTCAGCACGTTTTCTAAGAATTTTGAAGAGTTTGAGTGAGAAAATGAATGCTTGTCTCAAAGTATACAAAAAAGTTCGAGAGTATACTTTTGTCAGACCAAGATACTGTCTTAACAAACACATTATGAAAGAATTAGCATTTTGTGAAGTCCAATTTATCAGGCATGTTTGAAAGTCAAATTTACTTATGTTTTGACTGATTTGCATACGGATTCAGAGCATGCGCAAACGGTTTTCACTCGTGTCGGTTGGTACCGCACCTTACGTCATAAACCCAATGAATGATGGGATACCTTAAGGCTAGGATAGTGATGAAGGGGAGAGCCTACGTAGCAAGCAGTTGATGTGATGTATTTACAAAAATACAATGGATCACACCTAATACCATAGATAGAACGACAATAGAATACAATAGATTTACTGAATACATTACATCAACTGTGTGCTATGTAGGTTCTCCCGATAGTGAAGTGATAAGAAGACTCCCAGAATGAATTGCAAGATATACTGAGTTAATTTAATGTACGTATCATGTTATACAGCTAAGCTGATCGATTTTTTATTTTTATACTCGACAGACAGATGAATTCCATGGGAGGCTGAAGAAGTAGTCCACGAGTCATGCAAGCAGCATCATTTGCAGCTGCTTCATCGAACAAGTCATCACTCGATCGTGGAGATGTTTACGGGCGTGGGGATGACTTTGATGCCGCTCGTGGTTACGAAGCGCCACCCACCAGTAGGTTAGGAAGCGCACGCATCAAAATCAATGTACGAGGAATGGTTTTTGAAACATATGAAGAGACGCTGGCTCAATATCCACAGACTTTGCTCGGGAATCCCAAAAAACGATTACACTACCTGAATCCTTTGAGTGGAGAGTATTGCTTCGATAGGAATAAATTCCTATTTGATTCTATATTGTTCTTCTATCAATCACATGGGATTCTAGCGTTCCCTGAAGACATTCCCAAAGAGTGTTTTATCGAGGAGATAAGATTTTTCCAGTTACAAGAAGTTGATGAAAGAATCAAGAAAGAAATTGATCCTCCGGAAAAGGAAGCCGCGAAGCCTGTAGTTTTGTCTGACAGTGCGATCAAGAGAAAGATATGGGATTTATTTGAGCATCCAGATTCATCTGTAATGGCTGATCTACTAGCAAAGTTATCTGTGATTATCATAATCATTTCCACTGTGACGTTTTGTTTAGAAACAATGGAATCACTTCGATATGATGTCGTTAATGTATGCGTCAATGAAAGTGTCTCATTACGGAATAATAGTTCTACTGCGCATGCGTCCTCTATAGAAACAAATTATCCAAAAGGGTGCTTCGTCGATAAACAATATGAATTATGGCACACAATCGAGGCTGTCTACGTAGCGTGGTTTACATTTGAGTATCTCGTGAGATTGTTTAGTTCTCCACAGAGATGCAAATTCGTTAAGTCCGCTATGGGAATGGTAGACTTGCTAGCCATCGTGCCTTATTACATAACTTTAATAACGAGAGGAAACGTTAGCGCTATTCCAGTCCTCGGGATTATCCGCCTTCTTAGAATTATACGGCTTTTAAAACTTTCGCGATACAGTAGAGGATTGAAAAATTTAGCCAAGACTTTGATTTTGAGTGGGAGCGATCTTCCCTCGATGTTTGCTGTGATGATCATTAACGTTGTTCTTTTCTCTAGTGTGATTTTTCACGTCGAAAATGAAATTCCAGAGTCTGACTTTAAGAGCATCCCTGATGCATTCTGGTTTTCTGTCATCACCATGACAACGGTTGGCTATGGCGATCAGGTTCCGAAAGGGCTGCTGGGGAAATTAGTCGCAACGCTTTGTGCAGTATCGGGGATTGTCATTCTGTTCTGCTTTCCAACACCAGTTTTGTTGTCACACTTCGAGGAGGTCATGTATGGAGACAAAGACAAAGAGAAAGATGACGACAAGAAAATTAAAAAACAGGAGAAACCTGTTTGTGAGAACAAGATTTATGCAATCAAAGAGGAGGACGAGAAGGGTTTATTTGAAGAAAGGGATAATAATTTGAATTCTTTTGCTGTGCCTTAGCAATACTACATACTGACCTCGGTATACTGGTCCGGTTGTATTCTATAATATTGATGCTTATAGACGTGAACAATGCAAGTTGGTCCCGCATCTGCAGCTAACAGACTTTTTCTATTCAATTCTCCGTCATAAAAAAGGGACATAAAATGCGCATTCGTGCATTTTGGCTATAAGCCCTGGCATAGTAGGCTCCACCGCAGCCGTCATAAATTGAAAGGGCCCTTGAGTCAATCTGTGACCGAAACTAACCTACTGGCCTGGGAACTGCGAAATCTCATCAGTCTTGCGTGAGCAATTAACTGAGATAGGTTTGCGTGTAGTTTTAGCTAATGGAAGGCTTAACTATAACAAATGTCAGGTTAATAATTTGATAAAGAAACTCGTAAGACGTCGTCCGCTTTCTTTATGCTTGGCATCAGGTAACTAGTGATTGCGCACACTGAACAAAGTTGTTAGAACAAAGATATGTTTTTGCTTTGCGTTTACGAATAATTTCTTTAATAAAACCAGCTAGGGTACCACAGGGTACCGGGTCCAGTTTAAAGGCTTGACTATGCATAGGATCCATCAATTGTAATAACTGTTTAACTGAATAACTGTTTACCTATTCTGTTAATGGTTAACACTGAGCAAACGATCGGAACACTTTAATAAATTACTTGTAATGTTTCGTATGTTACTTCTGCTGTACTTTGAAAAAAAATTGCCGTCATAGTAGAGCCCTGCGTGCAGTCCGACTTAAACCCTGGTCGAGACGGAGTTGGGATCTGTCGCAGACCGTCTTAATTATAAAGTCGGGCTGCATGAAGGCTATGCAGGTGACTGGAAAAACAGATTAATTAAACAGTGATTTGCCTGTTCTAAATCATGAACCCTTCTTAATCAGCTTTGTTAGATCTTCTTACTCAAGAAAGGTGCTGGCACATCCACAAAGAGAGGGGGCTTACCGAACCAGAATCCCTTTTTGTTTGTTATTTTTCGTTTTTAGGAGTCGAGAAGATCAAAAAAAATGTTATCTGACGGGTTCCGATTTAGAATAGACTCGGCGAGAGAGCCGTGCGTGGATAGCCGATACGTGATTCCGGTAACAATGGAAGTGAAATCCTGGATTTTGTTCACAAATATCTCTATAATAATACGTTTAATCTCAGAAATGAATGCACTATGTGTTGATATGTACTAAATATTATAAAGTATATATTATGCAAGTTTTTAAAGTTGTTAAAATAGCAAAGATTCTATCCCAGGCCCCAGGGTCTTGACTGGGCACCGCGCGGCAGAGTAGGACTGTATTAGTCTAGCCGTTACTGTGTTTTTCAAAATGGCGAACTAGTCGTCGATGTGAAGAAGATGGATAAAAATTAATATGAGCACCAGACATACAAACAAAAATAGCAAAAATCAATCTGAAAAAGGTAAGAAACATTTCAGCTTTCATATTGGCGCTCTGACTTATACTTTTAGAGGTTTCTAGCAGGGCTGACGAAAAGAGAAAGCAAGACATTTGCTGGCCACGACTCTATCGAACCCTCCTTCGATATTTTGCAAAATTATTCATAGTTTAAATTTTATTTTATTAATTTGAGTGCTTTTTATTTATTTTTTTGCATTATAAGATTATTTTTAAAATTTATTAATTTAAAATACCGTTTAGTATACTGTATTTTCTGTGAGATATATATAATGGTTCTCCTAAGATATATTTAATTTATACGCACGCTGCGAATGCTTTAGTAACAAGCTGAAGCGTGAGCTCGTCCGCAGTCGATTTTATTTCTTTATGAAGCGTTAGGTTTGGGCTTGGCGATGTACTGCAGAAAGAATAATTCTCAGGAACTGCTATGAAAGTATTAGCTTAATAGCGTAATAGTCTTAAGAGCGCGTATTAATACTCAAGAGTCATTCCTTGGAAACGATGATCACATCCCCCACCATGAATAAGTGTGGCTATATTTAAGGTGGCTAGGGTGCTGCTCACTGCATGAGGTCTGTAGTTTGATGCCCAGTGACTTAGCACACTTTCAACTTCTCTCTCTTTCTTAAATATGTCAAATGAAAAAAAAAACGGATTCCCAATTGGAAATTGTTGGGAATTTCCCTGAATTCCCAATCCGAACACCAACGTTGGGATTTATTGTTGGGAATTTCCTTCTAATACCCAATAGAAAAACAAAATTCCCAACAAACTAACATTGGGAATCAGTGTTAAAATATTAAATATCCTGCGAACTCGGACATCTTAGGGGCCACTTGTTGCAAAATTAGTTAGTCTATATTTTTGACTGTCAGCAGCGAAAAGCCAATTTTCAGTGTGCGGCTTGCTCAAAATCACTGAGTTCCTAAAATATTGAGATTCGCAGTAATAAATGGAGCACCAGAAACTCTCAATTGCAAAACAAGTGTCTGATTTAAAACATAGAACATTTAAGCTGAAACCAAAATGACACATGGGAAGTACATGTTTACTTAAATGAATATAAAATATGTCTCCCTACTGTGATGTGAACCTTTGGGTGCTGTAGAACACTAGAGAAACAGCTGTTGTTTTATTTCTTACAGTTGACCTTAATGTCTGTGCTCTATGCCTGGGCTCAGAGGATGATGTAGAAAAATATGGGAAGTTTTTTCGTTGTAGCATACAAGAGCTTGCTGTTCATGAATATTGTTTGGTAAAGCATCATACAATTATAATAATTTGTATTTGTATTATTATCATCATCATTATTATTATTGTTGTTGTTGTTATAATTGTGCATGAATGAATGGGTGTTGATGCACATTTTCATGCCAATTGTAGTCAATCAAGAATTTCAAACTATTATAATGTATACATTGTACATTGTATATAATTTGCATGTAACACTGTATAGAACTGTACACATATATAATGTACACTGTAAATGATTTATGTACACACATGTAGTCATTATAATGAATATACACTGTATATAATACATGTACTTTGTATTTAACAATTTTTTGCCTCAGGCTCAGTAAATATCGGGTAATTTTTACCAAGATGCAAGTCTTTGAGCAGGGAGGTCAATATTACCTGATATTCACTGAGCCTGAGGAGAATAATTGTTTTAGTATTTTTAACACAAGTGAATTTAATAAATAACGGAGAGAGTCTCTTCAAATTTGATTTATCTCTACAAGTGGTACAAATCAACAAATGAGCGTGCACATGCACGTTATATTCACCTCTAGGTACTGTTTAATAAACGAGCAGGAGTGTTTTATCGGGTATAAAACACGAGGCGTAGCCGAGTGGTTTTAGACCCGATAAAACACGATCTGTGAGTTTATTAAACGGCTTAAAAACTCCAGATGTATGTTCTCATACTGTACCGAATTCTTTACGAAATGAACCAAGTTTGATAGAGAAAATCCAAGTTAAAGTTTATGCAAATGAAGACGAATCTATATCAGATGTGGAACCTCCTTCATGGTCATGATTTCTATTGTGTTTCCTTTATGAATTATTAATGAATTTTTTAAGTGAATATAGCAATAGCAGCATAAGACCTAAATTGTGATCAATGAGCGCACCTGATTATTTTATTTTATATTCACTTGTGTCAAAATACTAAAACTATATAATGCATGTTTACTATGTATTTGATGCTTGTAGAGCAAGGGTATTTAACCCGTGAAATGAAAATCATTAGTCAATGTGTAATAGCCAAATAGACACACACAAATAAAAACAATGGAATTAAGGTCTACTAATTAAGTGTATTAGTCTAATATCTATTTCACAGGTTTAATGACTTCACTCTGCACTGTATTCTCAAACTCTTATTTGACTTTATTATTTTATTAAATTACATGTTGATTTTGTTGATAAAAGATGGTGTTATTATGTTATCAGTTCTTTGCCTCTGGTCTTGCACAAAATGGTGAAGATCATGAAGGATTTGATGGGTTTTTACATCAAGACATAMAGGATGAAATAAAAAGAGCCAGTAAACTGGTAAGAATTATATTTTTATTTAATCAATTAATGCCAAAAGCAGTTACAACCACTATTTAACAATTATTTGCTGAAGGCGAAGTGAATATTGGGGAATATTTACCGAGATGCAGGTCTTCGAGCGGAGTGGTAAATATTCTCCGATATTCACTGAGGCTGAGGCAAATAATCGTTTTAGTATAAATACACAGGTGATACTTTCAAAAAAAGAAAAAAAGAAGATAAAAGACTTTTTTTTCCGGGTAACAGCAACAAAGCGGCTKGCCGCCATTTTGGATTATCGCTGGAGGTGATTATCATGTGATAGTGTGAGTTTCTCGACCAATCAGCGCATGAGATTTTCAATAATCACCCACCTGTGTATTTTTATTAAAGAACATCACTCAAATCCAACCCATGTAAAATATACTAACATGACCTCTAAGAATTTAAAACAATTAAATAGATAAAACTATATTAAACCAATTTTCTGGTAGGTCAATCATTACCCAATAGAGTCCACGCACTAAACCCATGCACAATCATCAGTACTAATTAGTACTATTTCATACAGAATCCTTTGTTTTCTATTGTTTGATTAGCACTATTTATTACTCAAAATTAGTATTAGTTTCAGGGTTTAGTGCGAGCACTATTTAACTGCAGCACATGAAATTTATTCTACACAAAATTGAGCAACTGATTGAGATTCTAAATTCTAAAAAAAAAGATTATATCATATTATTAAGATTTATAATCCAGGTGATATTTTTTGCAGCGTTGTACAGTATGCCATAAAAAGGGAGCAGCTATTGGTTGCTGTGTTTTAAGATGTTGTAGTGCTTTTCATTTTGTGTGTGGTCTTCAAAAACATGCCTTGTTCCAGTTTTTTGATTCATTCCGGTAAGAATATGCCTGTATCACAAGGATAGATAGTGTACAAGGATCTAGATAGATAGAAACATGTAGGTAATATATACAGTATGAGTGGCCGTGTTGTATCAGATATACAAACTCAAAGTGTAGCCGAGAGTTTGTATATTATGGGATGCAACAGGGACACGAATACTGTAGATTGCTTGTCAAGTGTCTAGGTTAGTTTCTTTGTGTTCCACTAAAGATTTTCAAAATTAACATGAATCTGGCCAAGAAAATCCAACTTAAAGTTTATGCAAATGAACACAATTTTGTATCAGATTTACAACACTCTTCACAGTCGTGATTTCTGTTGTGTTTTCCTCATGAATTATCAATGAGTTTGACGACAAAATATATAATTTWAAAAATATATAAATTATATGTAGCTATTTTAATCATGATTGCTTTTTTTAATCAGTGCATTTTGTAAAAGACATCGACCTACACAAAAGATCCTTCCATCTTACTCTGAACCACTACAGACCCCAACATGTCCTATTTGTCTTTCTGATGTTGATAATTCTGACAGTTTCACCACTCTAAAGTCACCATGTTGCAAAAATGCTTGGTTCCACAGATCCTGTATACAGGTAAGATATGGTAATTTCAATGCTCTTTGGGGGTGGGGGTAGGGGGAGGAGATTTTTTGTGGGGNGGGGGGGTTGTGGGTGGCTCTTAGATATACCTGTGAAAGAAACCTTTCCCATCCAAAGATAATTATAAACTTCTAGCTATACCTAGCTTATTATATTTTTTTCTTCAGAAACAAGCTCTTGCTAATGGCATGTACTTTTTTCGTTGTGCTTTTTGCAACAACTTTGACGAGTTTCAAGAGGAAATGAAACAAATGGGCATATACATTCCAGACAGGTAATCTTACTCTCCATCCATTTGGCTGTACATCCCTTCCTCTCTCCCTACCTGTCTCATTTTCATCCTTTTGACCATCTTTTTGTCCCAATGGCAGTCCATCCAATAACCCACCAACCCACCCAGCCATGCATCTATGAATTCACTCACCTAGATATGACTCAGCTATTTATCCATTCATTTATTCACCAATTCATTCATTGCCTTTTCCATCCATACAGTGTCTAACTATGAATCCAACCATCATTCTCTTTCTATCTGCTTGTTTACTCATTATCTGTCCCTCTATTGACATCTATCCACCTGTAGCTTATGCACATATGGACGCTAAATGCTGTTTTGCATCATATTAGGGATGCTATCTGGGAGCAGGGGGATGCATATGTAGAACTACTTCATCAACACAACCGTTGTGATGCTGCAAATTGTATTTGCCCAAGAGGAAGAGAATTTTCTGGTAGATACAAGTAAGTACTGCAGTTTTTATTCTGCAATATAGGGTACATATAAACACCCGTAAGAAGAAACTAAAAAATGGCAGTTTTTCAAACTCTGAGGGGTATACATATAATATTACAATGTACTCTCAACTTTATGATGAAAAACAAAAAGGAGGGAGAGTTGATTGATTCCAAGAATTTTGTTGCTTTGAAGTTTATCAGAAAATGTTGGCAAAGTCAGAAATGTTTTTCCATCTTTTGGTGACTTAGGGGACCCAATGCTGAATATTTTTGTGGCCCTGATATTTTGTTCCTCAAATAGTTTGTTTCTCTGTTTTTCTCAAATCCAGAAATCAGCGATGGAGGATTTTTAAATGCTTTGCCTGCGGGCAGAGTGGAACACATCGGTGGTGTCAACAACCTGAAATTTCACGGAGATTTTTCTGCCAGAATTGTGTGGTATGTTTCCCCCAGCATGAACAAACAAAGAATGATACTCTTACATCTACAGCCAGTGAAAACGGATATTTAGATGATTCCCAATCTACTTCAATTTCATCACAAAACAGTGAAACAACAGCCCAAGAACTGAACACCTCAACAGATATGGAAAATGCTCCTTTAAGTCAGTTGATGGAGCACTTTAAGACTAAGATCAATACAAGTTATTGCAAAGATGATTGCAATAGTAGTACTGGAAGTGAAACAATGTCGTTGTCTATTGAACATGTTTTTTCATGTGCAGACAAGCAGGATGCCATTTCTCATTTGGATGATTACACAGCTGTAGTGAGCTCTGATGAATCTAACTATGTGGATATTGAAAACTTAAGTACAGATTCTAGTGGTACCTTAAGCATTCATTCTGGTCTAAATGCTGAGGATCCTAAAGTTAAGACCAAGGAAAGGAAAAGAAAAGCACTTGTAAATCAGTACAAAGATGTGAGGCAGAGAAATACATCTATAAAGCCTAGAACTAAAGCACAGAGAAGAGCTAAAATAGAAGAGGGTAAAAAGAGAGCACAACAAAGAGAAAAGGCCCAAATGGAGAGGACAAGAAAGAGTCTTTCTGAAATATCAACCAAGTCTAAAACAAAGAAGGATTCAAAGAAGGATTTAACAAAGAATGATTCAGATGCTACAAAAAATGATTCAGATGACTCATTTTGTCTTTTTCTCAGCCCAGAATCAGATGACCAAAAGAATGATTTGAAAACAAAATCTCCAAACAAGACTGAAAAGATACCTTTACTCAGCTTGGAAGAAGATTGCAGTGACAAATATACCCTTGATGGATTGTCTTCAAAAACACACTCTAAGAAATTGGCTAGCATAACATCTTGGGAAGAAAAGTATGCTCCTGATGGGAAAAAACCCAACGGTAAAACTGGATCATCTTTGGAGAGTAAGTTACAAATTGAGACTGCTTCGATTTCAGCCACGTCTTCTCCATCTAAGAGTAGTGATGGGGCTGAAATGAGCATGGGAAAGAAGAATAATTTTTTTCAAAGAGACATCCGTAGCATGTTAATATCTCCAAACAGTGACTCAAAAAGTCTTACAAAGTCCCCAATAAAACTTGTTGGAGATCAAGGTTGTCAAACTGAACCGCTGAAGCTTCGTAAAGGGAATAAACGAAGGAAGCTTGGTGCTAAATTATCTAGTGAATACAAATCTATAACAACGTTTATGTCAGTAAATGAATCTTCTCCTAAAAGGAAATTGCCCAAAGGAAAAATGCAGTGCACTACCTTAAACTCCCATCCTGTTGATGATGAAATGGAAACTGCTTCATCTACAGTGTCAAGCTCAATCATAGAAACAATGACAGCTGCAAAAGGAATGGTGATGCGTGCTCTGAAAAGACTTAGTGGCTCTTCTGAGGACATTGAGGAAACTGATGCTTCTATTCCGAGGAAATCCCCCTTTAGAGATATTGGCAGTAGCGATACTGAAAGCTGGAAAAGTGGACCCTCTAAGGTCAAGGATCAAGTTGATGATGCTTTAACACCTTCTGGAGCAATGAGAGAATCTGTAGAAGACACAGACTCTGACAGCTCTGATAGCATCAAGGTGGTGAAAGTAAAGAAAGGAAGAGGTCCTAGGCATAGAGTTATTCCACTTAATGTAAAAAAATGTATTGTTCCTAGTTATATCCATGAAAAATTTTGTGCATGTTACAATATTCATGAACGAAAAGGATTGGTTCGAAGTAGACCAATTAAACCCTTAGTTCCTAATGAAGTGATAGTGATAGAGGATGAAAATGATGACCAAGATAGTGGTAAAGGAAGCAGCAGAGATACTAGTGATGCAGGGACAAAATCTGGTGACGGAAGTGGCTCAGAAAATAAAGAAACCCCTAGCAAAGAAGATAATGATCAAGACAATTACTATTATAGTAGCTGTGAGGATGACATTTCGTTTGATGATGATGACAGCATAAGTGATCGAAAAGCAAAATTGAAGTTAGACTCCTCAACAAATGACATTGAAAACAATCAAGCTGTAGCAAAAAATGTTGATAGACGTAGCTCCTACCAATCTGTCTCCAAGGAACCAAACACTAGAACCAAAGGAGATGGCAGAAAATCTTCTAAAAGGTCCAAAACTAATGTCAAAGAACAAGCAGCCTATGGAAGTAGTTTTTGTCAATCAGGTAATTCTGATGAACTAGTAGATGTTTCACCAACAGTTTTAACCAGAGAATCGTTGGAAAACTCCTATAATGCTGAGAAACTTTTTAGGAATCATAATGACAGTGATGGTACATTTGAACCACTTGATGATGACCTTATAGATGAATGCACAGAAAATGACTTCAAAGGGGATTTAAGAAAGAAAGGAAAATTACACAGCTCTAAGAAAGCTGCCACTCAGGGACAGAACCTATCGCCATTGTCACAGAAATCAAAGTCAAATTTTACAAGCAAGAAAACCAAGCCTCTGGAATTAGGTAAGAAAAACTTTTTAAGCTTACAAAAGTACATGGAATGTAGTGATGAAGACTTTCAGTCAAAGAAAAAATTGACCTCAAGTTCAAAGGGCATAAAATCTACAAAGTCAACTGATAAGGATCTAACGAAGACGAGAAAGAAAAAGAACACAACTACAAGAGAAAAACTATGCAACTCTAGTTGTACATCTACAGTATCAACAGTTACAGGCAATGCCTCATGACAACAAGCGTATATAACTGTACTAGATAATAATTATTTTAAAGCAGATTTCATGTGGCTAGTGAAAAGTTACAGTAGTTGGGGTGCTGTGTTGGAATAGTAACAATATTTGTATAAATGTTTTTTTTGTAATATTGGATTGCAAGCAGCAATCCAGAGTATTCTAGTTTGATGAGCGACAGTCTCTAATAATTATTATGAGAGTGCATTGAGTGTGATTGAACGGGTGAGTTGTGTAGTCTTCAGAAAGTTAATCACTGTTGTTGGTAAAGATGATTGTTCATTTTTATCTTCAAAAGATTAGTTCCATTCAGGTCGTCAAAACATCACTTAGCACCAACAATAGTTTACGACAGTGCACAAGTCTTTCTGAAGAGTACTTTCAGCCTGGAGATGATCACACTCTCCATGTTCAAATTTTATACTAATATGTAGTACTTTTCACAGTCACACGGAATCAGCTATATTTATAGTAAGAGCTAATTTCACAATTGCTAAGTGCATACATGGGTGTGAATAATGTCATTCACGACTAACTATACATCAGTTCACTGGTCAAACACAGAGCTCTTAATTGAGGCCTGGCATAATCAATTGAATGATTCAGAAATCAAATTTAATTGTACACCATCATGATTAGATTCGATTGCATTGGGTAGTTGAACAAAATCGTATGCTAAAAAAGATTGTGAATTCGATGCTTTTGATTACAATTATTGTACATGTATGTTATTTAATGTACAATCGAACGTAATTGAATGTGTTCAATTGGCTCCAATTTTTTTTGTGGATTCAATTTCATTTGATTGCCGAATGCAATTGAATGCAATCATTCAATTGGATTCAATGGAATTGATCCTTTGATTTCGTTCTATTGATTACGCCAAGTTGAGGAACATCAAGCAGTTTCAACCTTCCAAGACTTTTAAGCTTTCCGTGTGAATCCTTTACTTTTATCATTCTTGACCATGACCAAATTTGTGGCAAAAATTGCAACTCAAATTGCCTGCGTGAACAGGCCTTTACCTTTCATTATTTGCTTGCAGTAAAGGATTGGTTGATATTTTCATACATTCAATGTGGAATGATCATCTTCTACATTGATTATTCATGTGAATTTGGGAAAGGTCTGTTAGAACCAGAATGTCAAAGGTATGAATGGACACAACTAAAATGTATATAGAAATTTATAGCAATTATATCATTTACCTTTTTGTTCATTTTACTTGGACCATTAACTAACAGAGTAGAATTAATATTTATTAGGTATTTCTGTGTTTGTACAATAACTATTGATATAAAAAGTCATTGTTTAGATCATAATTTGAAGTTCAAAGAAAGACCTCGAAGTACCTGGAACATACTAGTCTTATGACCTAACATTGTTGTCAAGGTCAGGTCTGTTAGTCTCCTACACAGCCGCTGAGTGAGTGTTGCGTGACGACACTAATAGAGGCTGTGTAGGAGACTGCAGGTCTGTATGTTATAGGTAGAAAAAATTTGCATGCTAAGTATCTATTTGGTTAATCCAGACTCAGTAAAGACAAGTGTTTTGGGGTTTCCTTACTCGGCTCTAATCTCTGTGTGCATCCACAGCCATCCTGAAACACTTGTGTTTACTGAGTCTGGAGGGGAAAATGGGACTGCTCAAAGTCTACCTGGATTTACCAATTAGATGCTTAGTACGTAAAATACAGACCTGACCTGGATAAAATGTTATGACGTTAGAAGTACATTGTTTATTCACTGAAACTAATCCTAAAGATCTAGCCATTCCAAGCACAACCAAGAAAGTGCAGTACTTGAAGAGGATCAGAATGAAAGTGAAAGAATGAAAGRCCATAAAACTCTACCATGTTTCTTATCAGTGAGTAACAATTTTGTGCTGTTTTTAATTGGTCATTCTACAAGCAGCCTCCACAAAATGATCATTCATCACCTACAGCTGTACTGTATTCTGAGCTCTTAATGCTGTTTGTCAACATCATGCATCTGTACAGTGTCATTTAATCAAGTTCGATATGCATTATTTTTGCCCTAAATTTTTATCCGATAGATGTTATCCAATAAGCATGTACTTTTAGAAAATATTTGAAACTGATTATTAAAGAGATTTGGAAGAGATATGGAAGAGATGTACTGGATATGCCAATTGATAATCAAAATAAAATAACTTTTATGAATATTGCATTGTGATTGGTCACAAGAGTGTGCTATATAAGAGCGCATAGCATGAATGCACACTTTCTTTTCAGTTGCACCATTCCTATCCTAAATGATAGTTGTTGATAGTCGTAAAAAATTGCTTGCTGTACTATGCAGAGTTGTAAAGCACTTAGGGATTGGCAGAACACTGGAAGAATGTTGAGAAGCACTTTGCTATGTGTTGCTCTTCTGAATGTACTAAGATCATCTTAATAAGTTTCCAATAAAAAATGACATCATATTATAGTCTGCCATAAGCAAAGCAAGACAAAACAAACTCTTTTTTACAATACATTTTACTTTCAATTCACAATTGAAGTTCTCATCATTAACCTTACAATTATTTCTTCCAAGAGCAAAACATCCTAAATATTTTTATAATTTATAGGGTAATACTTTTTTTGTCATTTTGTTCGTTTACAGACTTATTGGTATCATACCAATACTATTTCTTAAACTACAAAAACATCTAATATTGGACAAAAGTAGAGTCTTGCCTATCTACATTTTTATGGGGAAGGAATATACAGTATCCTAAAATATTTATCTTGTTTTATTGGAGGAATGATATATTTTGTTTCATCTTTATTTTTTGTGTTTAAAACACCATCAATATCTATATTTTTTTGTTTAAGTTTTACGTTTGATTTCCTGCTTTTTTCCTTTCGTAAGGATCACAACTGTGGGTCCTAATTTATTATCAAATACAGTTTTAGAAGGTGTTGGTTATAATGTCACTAAATCATTATTTTGGTTTCCACTTCAGATCAGTAGTAAGGGCATTAGTGAATGAGCTTTGAATCATGGATGGCAACAGAACTTAGTTCAGATTCATGCTATACATGACTATTGTACGACATTGCCTTAATAGTCATACCAGTCATCAAAGGAACCCTTCTTTCCAAACCCTTTCTGGAACTTCCGGGCACCCTCAATGCTGTCCTTAATGGTTTGAAGTTTGACACCCTTGCGATACTCATATGTCAAAGCATCATAGAAAGAGTCAGCATTGTAAGCAGAGTAAAAAGCTGATTTACGATCAGCTTTCAGTGATTCTTGTGGGTACTTGGCGATCTGCTCAGCTAACTTGACACACTCTTCAATAGCTTTACCCTTGGGTACCACTCTGTTGGCCAGCCCAATGTGTAAAGCTTCATCAGCTTTGACAGGGCGACCAGTGATGATGAGGTCAAGGGCATGAGACAGACCAATCAGATATGGCAATCTTACAGCCCCACCATCAAGCAAAGGTACTCCTAGGGAAAAAAATTCATAATTTATCTTTAGATATTTCCAGCCTTTCCTTTTACATGTTTTTATTATTTTAAGGAAGAGCTCGAGTATCTCGGAAATCATCTATTGTGTTACCCACTTTTTGCTAATATTCACTATAGATCCTCTAGATTTTACTTTATACATAATACATAGCCAATAAATTGTATGTCTTTTCCCCTTTTCAAGGGTGCTCTGGGTCCTAAAAATATTACATGAGATGTGGAGGTCCCACTCTCTCCAGCCTTCCCCCCTCCACCCATCTACCCTCCCCATTCCCTTGTCACACATGTGGTTCGTATGCTGTACCACGGCATTCAAAACAACTATGGAAATATTGTGAAAAACCCTACCAAATCTCCTGTTGAAGAAACCAAAAACAGTGTTTTCCTCAGCGACCCTCAAGTCACACATCAATGCCAACTCCAGGCCACCACCAACAGCATGCCCCTGTATGGCTCCAACAACTGGTTTGGTTAACTTTAGCCTTGTGCAACCCTGAAGATGAAAAAAAATAAAATTGTTTAGGAGATCTATTTATTGTGTTACTATTTCATTCAGCACTGTATTTTCTATTGTTTTTTATCGCTAATGCTGAGCTAATTATAGACTTTATATTAGGAAGTGTTGCTGTTGTTATCAGATCACGTGCACCATACATACAAGTTTCGTGAGGTTTAGCATGCAGTCGCAAACAGGAAGCAAATTTTGTATTCCTTTGCACTACAAAACGAAAATTATCTTTTTAAAACTAAGAAAAAGGTGTATCGACTTGATATATTTGTTATTTTGGTTTCTAGAGCAAAGGAAAAGAAATAATTCGACTCTATAGAAGACTATCGTGACGCTAATCAAAACAAATAGTATTGGTGTCTTCACGAGGTTAAACATCACTTACCATAGGACCGTCACCCTCTCCAGGAGGAGCTATCTGCTTCAAGTATTCCTCTGCTTCTTTATCCGATAGCTCCTCAAGATCGTAACCAGCGCAAAAATGCCCTCCTTTGCCACAAAGAACAGCTACAGAAACTGAATCATCAATCTCGAAATGTTGAAAAATTTCAGACAGTTCCTTTGCAGTATCGACATTGATAGCATTACGCTTCTCGGGGCGACAAATAGAAACCATCAACACTTTGCCTATTCGTTCTTTCTCTACCAGATAGCTCTTTAGCCTTGTGCCTGCAGCTGCAAGGCGTGGAATTCTAAAGGCAAATCGTCTTGACATACTCAGGACACCCGCCATGTTTGAAAAACAACAACGCTCAGACTCTTGCACGCCTGGCCTATGTCTTCTAAAAAAGACCCTTCTCACGCTACCAGCACAGGTCCCTCAAGTAACAAGCAACAAGTAATAAGCAACAAGTAATAAGCAACATCAAAAATAAAAACAAATTTCATAAAATATATTTTAATTTATATATCCGTTTTCATTCTAAGACAAAAATAAAACTAAAAAGGAAAAGGGGTAATTTTTGTTGGTGAAGGACCAATTTATTAAGGGGTTTTCAAAAGGTGATAGATTTCCTATATGCGCGCCGGCCCCTAAGGTGCGTTACTCTTAGCAACCAAAGGACCAATCAGAATTCTCAGTTTTGAGTTTCAGTCTAATCAAAGATGGCTGCTGTTCGCTGGCGGGAAGTAAGGAGATTGCTGTTTTGGGGGAACAGTTCTTTACGACCCAAATAATGAAGCTTTTTTGTAATACCATGATTGAAAAGATGAGGAAATGAAAGGCCTAATGACTGGTAGTTCGAAGGCTTCTGATGAAGATGAAGAAACCGTTCGAGAACTGGTATGAGAAACTCAAAAGCTGTTGTTATCTTTTCTTGTTGTCATGAAGAAAGTTTTTAGCATATGTTTGTTGCTTAAAATATTTTGTATTACAAAACGTCATGGTAAATGTTTGTGACGAAGCTTCAATCTGTGTTTGATGTTGTTTTTTTATCTTGTACTTGCGGACAACTCAGTGTGACGTACAAATGCACATGCAAACATCTATATTTTCACAATCAAAGTACAAAATGTCAAACATATTCAAGCTAAGCTTATGTGTGTATAGTAATTGCAAAACATGACTTAATGACCAAGAATTGTTGGGATGCTGTGTTTTTATTATATTACATTATACAATATACAATTTGCCTCATGTGAAAGGGATTAAACTTGATTTTAAAACATACACTGTAAGCTTTTTCATTTCATATAGGCAAGCTAAATTAAGTTAAATCTATAAAAATGGGTTACACAAATAGACAGAATGAGTAAATATAAAGCAATAAGCAAGGCAGGATAGACTGCACTAAACAGTAAGGTAGTTTGCTAGGTTTAGATACATCTAAAGAAAATAGCCATGAGTACATCCAGCCTGAGGCTTAGTTCAAACTTGAAACTTTTAATTTTTCAGTTCTCTCAATATAGACCCAATGTAGAACCCCGTCCATCAACCTTTTTCCTATAGCAAAGGTCCTTGAAATCTTCTAAAATTGAATTGAATTTACCACTCTAGGGTGGATGGACTGGTCTTGCCTGACTAGTCAGTGTAAGCATTGATTGGTTTTCCTGGTCAGGAAGTTACCAGCTACTGTATGCACACCTGTGCTTGACTCCCACTGGGTATTTTAGTGAATTATGTACAATTATTACTGACAGAAATAAGTTCAACGGTTACTTGATGAAGTGATATACTTTTGACTTCATTTATTTTTTACAATGTCAAGACTGAGTGTATTTGAACATCAATTTTACAGCCATCATTTTCATTTTTTTCTGTATAGTTTGCTGCACATATACATATATATACATAAAGCATACAGCACTCTACTCCCATATTTTATTATATAAAAGTTTGAGGTCAGAACTTTGCTTTCATTGGCTTGATAAAATGATAATAATATACTGTAAACAGGATAGATTAAAGGACAGGTTAGAAGCAGCAAGAATATAACCATTAAAGTATTCATTATAACCCACTTCATTACTAACTCATTAATACAGGTTAAACCAGCTAAAAAATCTAGATCACCTCGCAATACAAAGGGCAACAATCAAATAAAGGAGCTGGTAAATATGTGTCTTAATTTCCTATATGTAATATTTCATGTGCTAAATGACTAGCTTTATAACTGAAACCATAATTTTTTTATAACCAAAGAAACTATTCTCATCCATCCAGTGGTGTAGCAAGGTCTCGGTCATGGCGGGCAGTTAAATGTACCATTTTCCATCCAATACAGACTGTGTACACATGCATCAACATTTTATCTGATGAGTTTGCCACCATATTCACAGATTCAGTAAAACGTTTGTGACAGGGGGGGGGGGGGTTGCCCCCTTCTCTATGCTCCTGTGCCCCACCCCATTATCCTACAGAGAAATGAGAAGGTTTATAAAGCTAGTACAAATGTACCATTCTCCTTGATCCAGCTTTAGAAAATGTTTGTTCTTCTATTCCTTGGTGGAGATATGATGACTGTTCTTGAGATATTTACTCATATAAGTACAGTATTTTTTATCTTTCTTATGATATTATTGAAGCTTAAAAATTTGATGGCAAAACATTGGGTTTTTTTTCAGTGCACTTCCAATGGCATCAACTATGAAAAACTTCAAAAGGGATCTGCAAAAGCTGTTAAAAAGCTGGAGATGTTTTTCTCTGGTTTCCCCAAAATATGTGGAATGGAACTCTTTCCAGTCCTGCAAAGCCTTTGTCTTATTGGTCAAGAGATAGAAGTATTAGAAAACCTTGAAACCCTAATAAACCTGACAGAACTGTTTGTGTGTGAATGTGCTGTTAAGGTAAGAGAAATGGTTCAGTTATTTGGAGTTCACTTTCTTAGCAATTTTGTTTTGATGTGACCAAAGTTAACAAAAGAAAAAAGTATTATACAATGTATACATATTATGGTTATACAATGTATTCAATGTCACAATATCATACACATTCTCAGGTGTTTGCTCTTTGTCAGCTTGCTAGAATTGCTATATTGCTAGTGCAGTTTTTGCTCGTTTTATACCACCCTCCCTTGTTCTACTATCAATCATCAAGTAATACTCCACCGAGAAATTCAGTGTGACTGGTGCCAGGGCGACCTGTGGCTTAGTTGCTATGGAATACCATCTTGCTAGTTCGTTGCTTGCCTTTGCCTGCAAAGTGATACCTTAAACCTTCAATCATGATCAGAATGACATGTTAACTTTACACTTAAATTAAGAAAAGTGCTAACACCTAAAAGATGTCTGGAATGGTAAGTATCGTGTTCTGACCAAGTGCATGCGAGAATGTATTCATTCTTAATTAACAGTCGCATGTGATTGGTCAGAATACAATGCTTGACATTCATGGTTTTCTTGGGTTGATTTTACGGTAAAAGCTTATTGTTGCTGATCTTGATTGTATGATCCAGTGATGATCCAATTTCAAGTTTTTGTGTTATCTTTTGCTCGTACATTATATATCAACCCCTCACCACCTACTTGCTCCCTGTTTTCTGCTACAGAAAATTACAGGCCTAGAAAAATGTGTGAACCTGAAGAAGCTATTCCTTTATGATAATGAAATTCCCAGAATCGAGAATCTTTCCAACTTGACTAAGCTCACAACACTGTGGCTAAATAACAACAATATAACTGCAATAGAGGTAAGTAATACTATATAATGTTAAACTGATGGTCAAATTATCAACCACTCCCTAACTTAACAGTCTGAGCCTGGTCGTACAAAGGTTGGATAGCGCTATCCGGCAGATAAATCTTATCCAGTGGATAAATTTATTGGATAACAGTATCGACTTATCTACTGGATAAGGATTTATCCCTTGGATAGTGCTATCTGACCTTTGTAAAACCGGGCCGTGATGATATTTACATGTAGCAATCAAGCAACAGTCTTGCTGGTTAAAGTATCTGTCTGTGGTCTAATTTTGTTAGGCTGAATTTAAGTGAAATCATTGGAGGGCAAACCTCAGACCACTCCCTTACTGAATAGTGCGTTAAGCAACTGAGACATGCGAGTCCTTTGTATTATAAATATATCTATTTTTACAATTGTTTTCAGGGACTGGAGAATTTAACACTGCTTACTAACTTAAACCTAGCAAGCAACAGAATATCTGCTATTGGTAAGTCAGACGCCAGTGAAAGTATATTTCATAGATATAACGTTGGCTGAACATGGATTTAACTACATTCTGAACTATCTTTGCCAATGAACTACATGATGATGAGTATGATACTTAGCCTCCTCTGCAGGCTACCCCATATATTCTCTGTTGGGATCCCTGTGTTAAATTATATGGCAGAGAAGAACTAGGGATGAGAGAGGAGAAGGAGTGGGGATGAGGGAGGGAGAGAAAAAGTGAGAGGTCCTCTTCCTCTTTCTCCCTCTCCTCCACCTCTGCACTTCGTCTTTTTTGTCCTCACCACAGGAAGCCCGTGGAGCAAAAAGAGCGAAGGAGATGCCTCTGGGGGAGGCAAATATCCACTGATAAACAATGAAAYCTTTCTACGCAGTACTGTTATTGCTTGTTATTACTGTTATTGCTGTTAATGACACTGATAGCTTTATAAATTATTTTCTTTTTAGGAAATTCCCTTATTCACAATACCAGCCTTGAAACCTTTGATTTATCTGCAAATAACCTAGGTTCTTTTAAGGTTAGTAGACTTCTACTGTACACTACATTCAATGCAGAAGAGTAAAAAAATATTGTGTTATAAGAATGTTTTTGTCTGAGCATATACATGTAGACCCCTTGCGTGTGATGTCAAAGCAGCTCAATTTGGGGGCCAAAACAAAAGAGTTCCAATCTCCTGAGAATTGCAACCTATTATTTTGTCCCCCAGATTGAGAAGCATTCCAAAGTGCTGCAAGGGGCCTATAACTCATACTTTTAATCAACACTCTAAGCTGACCTCACTTGCAATTAGAGCTCTGCAAGATTTCTCTTTCTCTCTAAACTCTGTTATGTTTTAGCCAAAAATGCATTGACTTTATGCAATAAATATTTTGCAATTGCCTCTCAAAACTATGGTTATGTACTGTAAATCACATAGCTATAAAGCCTCAATTTCAAAATTTTCAGGAGGGGTGAGAGCATTCCCCCTAACCCTCCAGATTAGCCCGCCCACTCCAAGCTATGCTCTGAAGTCCCTGGTAATCAAACATTACAATATTATTTGATCATATTCTTAGGATTTGACGAACCTGACCAAATTGAAAAACCTTACTTCACTGAGCCTAAAGAACCCAGTTTATGGTCCTAACCCAGTGTCATTACTATGTAACTATTCAACACACTTGTTGTTTCACTTGCCGAATCTCAAGCGCTTGGATACTTATGATGTGGAGTCTAAACAACTGAAGGAATTGGCTAAGGTAGGGGAAAAATAAAGAGGAAAATTTTTAATTTGTCATAATATACAGTACATCTAAAATCACTCTTTGAATTCTATGCATTCATGCATTTAAAAAGCATTTTTCAAATTTCCTTGTACATATAAGCCATATGCTATGTTTTTCTAAAATATCTGTTAAAATATATGGTAACTTTAGGAACCTCTCTGGTGTCTAWTTAATAGAAATTCATGTCCGCCATATTAGAGAAAACTAAATACATGATAGTTTACTGCTAACGTGCAGGATGGAAGAGGATGATGGCTGATTTGAATGTGATCTGTAGACTATCCTCAGCCATGTATTTGAACACAGGCCTCAATAAAGGTCTCTCATGCTTTTGTTGCTGTGAACTTTCTCGCTCTGGATATACTTTCTCAAAAATTTCACAGGATTCCAGCTCCGAATCTCAAACGCTTGACTGTTGAAAGCTATTGCTATGACCATGATTTGAGCTTCTTCAAATCAATACCTTTAGCTTTGTGTTTGAAATTCAGAGTCGGAATCCTTACAGACATGTTCTTAAGAAACCCTTTTGATTGACGTCCACCAAAACTCAATTTTTCATGTGAGCGGGGATTGCAGTAATAGGGTGTCCACATAAAAAAGGTCTCACTCTAGTTAATCAAGTTTCATTTTCATAATTTTTTGATAATTTTTTTGTTAGACGACGGTGATGAAGAAGAAGATGTATTACAACATGAGAATCAAAACCTTACAAAGAAACACAGCAGATCTACAGCATAAACTGACCAACGAAAAATACAATCTTCAGATGTTTGCAAACACCAGAATACGAGCACTGTACTCATGCATTAAAGAAGTATGTCGTTAGAAAGAGCTCGGGGGAGGGGGGGGGGGTGGGGGGACTTTCTACTGCCAAACGAGCTCTTACTCACCTAATTTGGGAAAATGTCTTGGTTTAACTTACAACAACCTGTGCATTGAAGTATCCAAATACATTAAATGTGGTCATACTTTTGCGCATCATGCTGTAATTTAAATATTGGTTGAATAATAAAATGCATGGTTTATTGTTTGAATAATTATTGTTTATTGATCTAGTTACATATCCTTTCCTGTTACCAGATTGAAAGAGAGCAAGAAGAAACCCATTTAGCTCCTCCAAAAGAGCTCAGAAATCAGAGCTCTGATGAAGAAGGTGAAAAAGAAAAGACTAAAGAGGAAGACAATCCAGATGAACTAACTAAAAAATTTGAAATAAAAAAGGAAGCCTTAAAAACAAGAATAAAAAAATGGGACAAACAGTGTCAAGAGTAAGTATGATGATGTTTTGTCGATAATAGGGATGTTCACTGTGATATTAAGAAGAATTTTCTTGACATTCAGATATTACTTAACTCAATTATCCACCTACTTGTACACACATATCCAACCATGCATCCAATAATCTTAATTCTATCTTTTCACCATCCACCAATCTATCCATCCATCTCATGCTTCGTTTTTCCCACCCATCTCTTTATCCATCCCTACTTTCAATCATCTACTCATCTACCCAACCATGCATCCATCCATTCATCCATTCATCCATTTAGCTGCCTAACTCGATTAGATTTTCAGCTATTTTAGGTAGCTGTGCTCGTGTTTTTGCAATTCTAAATTTATGTTTCATGTAATTCTTTCCTCCTTGAGTGCAAATAAACTGTTGTTGTTGTTGTCATTCACCCATCCACTCATTCATCCCTATGTATCTTTCCATTCGTCCATCTATCCAAACAGCAATCCATCCATTCACCCATCCACTCATTCATCCCTATGTATGTTTCCATTCGTGCATCTACCCAAACAGCAATCCATCCATTCACCCATTTACTAATTCACACATTCACCCAGCAATCTTCCAACCTATCCATTCAACTATCCATCCCTTTCCATTCTGGTCCATCTGTCCTTCCATCCACCCCCATCCATTTATCTGTATTTTCTTTCATCCATGCATCTACCCAATCAGCATTCCATCCCTTCACCCATTTACTAATTCACCCATTCACCCAGCAATCCACCAATCCACCAATTAGTCTTTTATTATACAATCTAATAAACATTAAATTGATTATTATATTGCAGAATTGAGAGCTCCTACAGGGAAAGTTGGGAGCAAGTACAGCTGGTGTCTGACATGACCATTCAGAGGTTGTTAGTAGAACTAGACACTGGTGGGAATGTAAGGTTTGAAGATGGCAAACCCACTGATATATGGTAAATAAACGTGTCATGATATCTTGAAGAGTGCAAAACATGTTGTTGTTGATGATGATGATGATGATACTGATGATGATGATGATGAGGGTGATAGTGATAGTGATGAGGATTATGATGATGAGAGTGAGGGTGGTGATGATGAGGTTGAGGTTGATAATGGTGGTGAGGGTGAGGGTGATGGTGGTGAGGGTGAGGTTGATGGTGGTGAGAGTGATGGTGGTGAGAGTGAGAGTGAGAGTGAGCGTAATGGTGATGGTGTTTATACCTACTCACACTATAATCCTGATGCTGTAGTTTCTATTAGCAGCAATCGTAGTCTATGTGTTGTTTCCAGGAAATAAGAAAACCACGATCCTAAGTTGTGCTAAGATATAACAAAGAGATTTATGGATTACCTAGAATTATTTACTTGCTACAACTGACTTTAATCACTTGTTTGCAGGTACAAGTCATGTCATGATCTTGTAACATCTCGGTTCTGTGCAGGAGATTACCTGGTAAGTTACCTTCAAGCCAATCACAAAGAAAATCTGCCAAAGAAAATTCTAGAAAACATCACGGTCGCGGTAAGGCGCGCATATGGTATCAACTTTTTCATATTCATACAAAAACAGCATCTCCAGTTACTGCTCTATTACTTACGTCTTGTTTTCGTGGTGTAGAACTATGGTGTTACAGGAATAAAGGTTCATCGCATCACACGAGTACATAACAGAATCTTGCGTGCTCGGTTCGATGAGGTACTCTACCAGACACTGGCAAAGAGCCATATCGTTGAGATAACCAAGTATGTACATCTCTTTTAAATTGTGATAATTTGAATATAAATAAAGTGAAGTCACTAAACCCGTGAAATATATATTAGACTAATACACTTTAGTAGACCCTAATTCCATTGTTTTCTTTTGTGTCTATTGGACTATTACGCGTTGACTGACATTTTTTATTTATTTCACGGGTTAAATGCCTTCAGTCTATAAATGAAAGAGAGTAAGGTATCCATTCGTTTCTTACTTTGTGTTAATGATATTCCAGGGGAAGATCTCATAAGAAACTGCTCGAGTATCTGTTCTTCATGTGGAATCCTGATGCATTTGACGAAGCAAATGAGCCAGTCACAGTACTGGAAAAGGGATTCCGTAAATCAACTGAATACGAAGTGAGTAAGACGTCTTACAGTTACTTCAGACTYATTGTTTCACCCCTCGGCTTGACCAGCACCGACTTTTCCGTATAGAGGCTTTGCACCGTAACGTGATGGCAGCCATGACAGTAGGCACAACAATAGAGTCGCTTTTCCTTGGGAAACTGAATYCTTTTTCATGTAAAGCACATTAGACCAGATTCTATTGTTCCTGCCTCCTGTCATGGCTGCCATCACGTGATGGTGCAAAGCCTCTATAAAGGAATCAAGGGTGACAAAGCATTAGTACACTCGCCTCTCATCTCTGGGGTCTCGGGTTTGATTCCCGACCTCGGTATCACATGTGAGTAGAGTTTGGTTAGCTCTCTCTTTGATCCAAGAGTTTTTCTCTGGCCTTTCCTTCCACAAAACCTATCACGTTATATTCCAATTCGATCTGTAAATTAACCGTGTCCTGACTTAGGCCAGCTATGAGATTTTTTCAGGGTCTCATAAAATTAGTTCATTTTCTCTTGTATAAGGACATAAGACCGAAAGCCCTTGTAGACCTTGTAGATAGTTTTGCAAAACCTGTCCAGCTCCTTCTACAAGCAATAGACTTAAATCACTCAACTCAATCACATTTTTTCTTGGTGTATTGCAGAAGGCTGGTTTTGATGGAGGTGTGCCGTTATCGAACAGTGTTGGTATCTGTGATCAATCTAGGATCCAAAAATGTACCGCCAAATCTAAAGAAAAGGGAATTGCCAATCCCTTCCCGTTCAGACACGGTAAGTACAACCAGTGACAATATTAGCCAATCAACAGAGGGGCATCCACCTGCATTGAATGAAAGCGTTTGTTAATCAGCGATTTTCCACTCGCCATCCATCAGAAGAACCAAACGCTGTTATTATAAGACGACAAAGTATTGGTCTTGCTTTATGGTGATAAGAAATCCTGCCGACCGTAAAAAAATACTTTTCCAAAACAAAACAAAAAACAATCTGATCCGGAATTGCGTTTATAAAGGCTTGTGGTCTTGGAGTATACCTATTTACAGAAACCCACTATGGGATGGGTGCTCCACGCTTCTGATTATAGACTCGTGATTCAGAAATATGGTAGTGCATGAACCAGTTCGGGAAGTGGACAGCTCTAGTTCTACGCTCCAGCGACTAGAGAAAACGTTTTATAGAAATTCTTGATTAATTAGACAAATTAAGCTATTTATGAATGTTTTAAATCTTATAAGATTCCCGATTTTCCTTCCCGCAAATGGCAAACCGGCATGATCATCTTTTTCCTGTATTTCACTTTACCTTACTTTGACGTTTACCGTAAACGAGAATCTTAAATTCTCTATTATTGGGCTTGCGCCACTCCAAACCCTTCACAAAAAAGCTGAAGGGTTAACTAAACATTTCAAGCAGAATCATGACTAAATACAAGCTGTTGTCTCACAGGTCAGCTGATCATTTCCAAAACGTTTGTTGGTAGAGCAGTTTCTGCTAATACAGGTGAAACGAGGTAAGAATCTATCTAACACCTATGAATATATTACATTTTGCAGCGTGTTGCTCGGTATCAGATTTCAGATCTCCAAACGACAACCTTATTTTGAAATAGGCGTATATCCGACGCGTGCGCACAACTTATTATCGTGTTTTTATTCCGCAGGGTGACCAAAGGTAGATATCCATACGCTGACAGCGTGTTTCGCCTCCGCACACACGAAGCTTCCAAGACAGAAATAGCAAAACCCGTAAAGTCGTGTGACTGCAGTTCACGTCAATGTGAATGGTTTGTTTTTGACCACGAGATGGTATTACCCGAGTATGTAGTGGACTTTGAGTACCTCACTAGGGTAGGTATCTATTTAGCAGTTAGTCCTCGAGCCTGAATGGACTATGAGTCAATAACCCTTGAGGCCCGAGTTTTAGTCAAATCCAACTAGTCGGTCAAATATATAGATGCAAACGAGTTTTAAATTAAAGTTAAATTCAATGTCTTGGTTTTCAAAGCCGCCACTTTTCGTTACTAGTAGACTAAAACTTATAGCCTAGTAGTAGCTCATCCAATTACAATACAATATTAATGCTAGACCTCTAGTTAAGTTTGACTAAATAACTATATACGGGTAGCACATTGTGCGTTGCTAAAGGGCCCCTATTACCATTGTGGTTATGGTTCCCATGCTGGACCCGCCATCACATGTGAGTAGAGTTTCTTGTTGGCTCTCTCCTGTGCTTCTAGGGTTTTTCTCTGCTCGACCGGTATTTGGCTGCTTGTCCGGTGGAAAAAAAAACAGGAGAAAATCATATGAACTAGCACTAGTCAGAGAGTCCTGTTTGCATTACGCGGGTTTGAAATAATAGGAGAAGATCATGGTAGTTTAAGAATTATTCTTTCTTTCTTTCATTCATTCGTTCATACATTCATTCATTCATTTTTCAGCACAAATCCAAATCCCCTTACATCCATTACATTGGGGACACTGTTCATAAGTCAACTTCTTCGGACAGCGGACAGAATGAAAATTACGTGGATGTAGACGTTCTTAATATGGAACCCAAGTCTAAACCAAGACCAAGGTTGGTACTAGTGCTATGATCACTTAAGAACATGCAAAAACGAACGCACACCGCACGGTCACGCTACAAAAATAACGACTTCCTTTGAATCAATGGAACGGTTACTCCCAAAAAAAAGATAAAAGAACGTTACTGATTTACAGTACGTACACAGCACGACATGCCATAACACTGAAATGGCTTCCCATTGTCTTCCAGTAAATTAAYCAACTACAACGTGTAGTTACGGATACGATAAGATACGGCACGGCTACAGTTTGACTACAAATTCGCCGTATCGTTTACCACCCGTAAAAACAACTCTATCACTTATTGAAGCAGCTAGTACTGAATGCTTTGATCTTATCGCAAATATTATGCCAAATATTTCTTCAATAATTTAACTTTTAATCTAATATTTTTAGATTGATTGGTCTAACAGAAGAGATCTTACTAAGCCACTGCAATGTACAGTCTTTGGAACACATCACTGTAAGCAAAAAAACACCCCGGGTTAACGGGTGGGGGGCGGGGGGACCTCAGGGGTAAAAGTATCGGGTATGCTCGTCGGAAATGTTCAAAAATACTCCTAAAAAATACCAGAAGTATTTTAAGAAGGGCGTGATTGGACAATTTTTAACCCCTAAACAGGTGCCGCAATTCTAAATTTAAAATTTTTTTTCACACTAAAAGATACCAAATCGCTGATTTTTATCCCTTAGAGATACGACTAGCACACCCGATACTCGTAGCTCGGAGTCTTCCCCCCACCCCGGAAGTAAACTGGTCGTCACGTCGTAACGCAACGTTTTTCTTCCTACCAACGTGTTAAGTGTTCGTGGGGAAAGAAACGTTTGCTGACGACCCTGAGAACGTTTGCGTAGCAGGATAACTCTAGATGAAAACCTTTTCAAATAAGATGTGTGGGCTATCCCTGTTTCAATTCAGAATGTTCACAAATATTCAACAATAAAACAGGGGCTAAGCCTTCTTCACAGGAACACGTGAATATTCTACACAAATTCAAGGCTAGCCCTGAGCAGCAGTGATCTCACAACTAGAGTATTTTCTGAGTGCAAGTTTCTAAGGAACATGAGTTGAGTCACATGGTTGCACACACTGTATAAGCTATGACAGTCTTCTTATTGCCTTTTGTTATTTTCTAGGTGCTAAATCTCCATGGTAACGGCCTAAACCGTCTAAAACATCTGAACTCAATACCCTTGCTAAAAAAGCTTATCCTTAGCTTTAATGAACTTACCAAACTCGACGATATTAACCACATGGTACGGCATTCAGAATATTTATATAATTATTAAGATGAAAGTTGAATATTTTTGCATTGAACGTCCTGTTGATTTTTTTTCACCGTTTCCTCATATATCTTTGTTTAATTTTTCCTCTTTGTAGTCGTTTTTGGAGCATCTTGATGTTAGCTTTAACAAGGTTACTACTCTTGAAGGATTAAAGGTACGGCGTTATAAATTCTCCCCAACACCCCGACATCCTATCACACACACATACAATATTGGGCCATTGCAATTGATATTTTAAACCCCTCGATTGAGAATCCTATTCAAACCCTGTTGTCTTCAAAAGTGTCTAGAAAGTCTAAGGGTAGAGAAAAGTGAAAACCTCTTGGATGGGATGTTAGAGATGCTTCCGCTTTTCATTTTCGGATAAGGTATCATTCCCTTGAATACCATTCCTTTGTTTTCCATTAAAGACCCATTGCCACTAACCGTGATGCATCACGATTTGTTTACATTTTGAATCGTGTCTCCACTGAAAAAACGATTCCAACATTTTGAATAAACTCATAAAAGAATGTAAAAGAATCATTATTGTGCCTTAGTGCTATGTCGGAAAAGGATTTAATATGAAGTTATTATTCAATATATAAATCTTTGAATTTCATGGACCACGAAATTTATCTGTGACCACGGTGCATCACGGTAAGTGGCAATGGGTCTTTAATGTTTGTTAAGATACACTAAGTTGAATGACGCTCAAACTAGATATTATTCCCGAATGAATTAAACATAATCTGAAATGGGACATTACTACTTGGCAGTTGTTTGTATGTTGTGTTTGTTAATGTGTTTGTTTGCCACAGGGTTGTACCCGCTTAAGATACTTGGACATCAGCTGGAATAAGCTGAAGTTTATACGTGAAGAACTGGGGATAATGAGAAAGCACATTGCCACCTTGGTGACATTAGACACACGCAATAATCCTTGGCAAAAAGTACGTAGATCTTAGTATTGTCTTGATCCACCAATGATGAGCTGCTGTCTTGTCCTTTCCTTTCCTTTCCTTTCCTTTCCTTTCCTTTCCTTCCCTTCCCTTCCCTTCCCTTTTCTTTCCTTTTCCCTCATTTCCCCTTATTTTTAAGTTATTTTCTGGGTTCTCAATAGCCACAGGTGTTCCATGTACTAGGTTCATGGTTCTTGCGGTAGTTGACTGCATTTATTCCGACTTCTTTTTCAAAATATGAAAACATACCCATCATAAATGCCTCATGAATAAAAACACAATTAACTTGTTACTTGTTACATATTATCTAGTCTTAGCCTTGCTAATTCGATTTCTTTGACAGCCCGAGACATTACGAACCAGAGCATTAGGACGCCTAAGAAACCTCGAAGTACTCGACGACATTCCAGTAACTGATGATGAAGTAGCTCTAGCTTTACGAATGGCAGCTGCTTCTCGCATCTCTACGTTTGCCATCCTTGCACACTCTAGAACAGACCAGGTCAAGCCGCGTAGTCTGAGCATAGTCCCTACAGCACAGACCATCTTGGCTACCAGTATCCAGAAACCTGCAAGACCAATGGATGATGATAACCAATGGATGGTTAAGGTATGGAGTAATTACTGTAATATGACACTCAAATGGCTTTCTTGGTCCGGCTTGATGATGATTGAATAATGTGGAAGCCATTTAAAAGTCATGATACACTCATGACCCGTTTGGCCTTAGCCTAAAATACCCTTAAAACAGAGCACTGACTGATGCAACTGAAAAGTAAAGAATTACTGTAATCTGGTCTCAAATGGCTTCCTTGGACAAACGTTGTCATGTCCCGCTTCGCTGATAGGCGTGTAAATTTTGCCCTTTTACTCTTAGGCGCTAGTTATTTGTTTATTAGAGTGCATACCACATATCCGTGAAAGACGTTGTAAGAAATTACACATACACCTATAAACGTTTGTACTAATTTGTACAATTTTGTTAGCTAACTTTTTCACAGATATTTGGTATGCGCTCTATAATCTGGGTTTGTTTTTTGTTTCTTTTTTTTTAAATTTTACTTTTTCATTTATTCAGGTGACCACATTGAACTTAGACAACATGCGTCTCGGTAAAATATCAAATCTAGAAAAGCTTGTCAACCTAAGATGGGCTTCTTTCAACGATAACGACTTGACTAAGATAGAAGGCTTTGAACACTGTAGCATGTTAGAAGAGCTCTCCCTGGAAGGCAATTGTATATCAAAGTTTGAAGGTAAATATATGATCTCTTACGGTGGCTCGATCGAAACAAACCACGCGTCTCAGGCGCCAGCATAGTAAAACTCTCACAGAATCGTCAATAATTATGCGATTGTTCTGAAACTTTCGGTGTTCAGGCGTTATTTAACGGGAATGACAGAGCATGTAGAAATATGTTAAGATGGTCACTCGAATTATTCACAATTTTGCAAAAACTACACAGATTTGTTTTCATAAAATTGAAAACTTAAACAAAATTGAGCGTCTTTTAAAACAATGCTAAAGTTGGCTTTCTATTATCGATGTGCGCGCAGTGCATGTGCAGCGCATTCAGTACATCATATGACTGTGAGACGGCACAACTACTTTGCGTGAGATTACTGCATGGCTCTGTCGAAACGACGCTTACGTTTGATGACGTCTCGAATGACAACGAACAGTTGCACTTGCTAAAGAATAGCATAGTAATGGTTTTTCTTTTCTTTTTTTCTTTTCTTGATAGGGCTCGTCAGGAATCCCAAAATTCAGTGGTTGAATCTCCGTAATAATAACCTGCTTTCTCAAAAACAATTTATTATCTCCGTAATAATAACCTGGTTAACTTAGACACAGGGATGCTGGAAAGGTTACCCGAACTGAAGTACCTCTCCATTGAGAATAATCTTATAACTTCCTTGCGAGGATTGCAGGTTCGTATACCTTGGCCCAAGGATCTTCTTTATTTAGTATAAAAAAATAGTGGACTATTTGAAATTATGCATTTTAATTAGCTAGATATACCTGACCTCAGATGCATGTCATTTCGAGCTGTCATGGAGCGCGATGCTCCAGTTTCGAGTTGCCTGTTGCTCAGGGTTAGCCTCGATTTTGCGTAGAATTTTCATTTTTCAGTGAAGCTCCGTGGAATTTCAAAGTGTTGGTATCGTTGAAGTCGTACGTTCTTTAATTTACCGTTGGTATGTGTGAATATTTAGACTCAGATACAAGGCTAACCCTGAGTAAATGAGTCAGTAATCAAAGAACACGGTAGCCTACTGCGCAGCCGCAGTCCTCACAGCGGCTGCGCAGAAGGCTAAGAACGCAGCTGTCCTCACAGCGGCTGCGCAGTAGGCACAGCGGCAATTTGGAACTGGAAAAAATGTCTATAGGAAAACAAAAAAGAATCACTGAATATTAAGATATGTGTAAAAAGAGGAGTCCATACCAATTCGCATTCATTGATTTGCATCGATGGAGAGGCTGAACCTGGGAACGGGATAAATAAAAGCTGCGCTAGCGGTACAGAGCTTTATTGATTGCTTCTTATCTTTGTTCCTTTCAGCATTTAGTTAATCTGCAGGAATTATACATTGGAAACAATGAAATCGCTAACACAAGGGAAATATTTACTCTAAAGGTAATTGGCAGAGCTGCTTTAGTAGAAAGGCTGCTGTCCATTGTTATCTAGAAAAATGGCTGACTCATAGGTCTTTGATTTTTCTCGTACAGACAATCTCTACTCTCGTGATTCTCGACTTGTTTGGAAATCCACTGGTAGAAAACACCATAAACTATCGACTCTTTGTTGTTTATCACCTTACTACATTGAAGGCTTTGGATGGTTTGGCTGTGGTAAGTCACGTGACACAATTTTGTACCTCACCCTGTGATCTCGCATTGAATGAACCATATCGTTCGCTTGTGTGGCAGAGTCTCTCTTGCTCCAGCACCTTGTTTTTCGCTCGTAGTACTTGATGCCCGTCTTTTCATTGTCACGCCTTTCAGGCAACTATAGCTATAATTGGAGACCTTTTGGGCTTTTGCTTCCGTAAATGAAATTCCCAACGGTCTGAGTTCGTATTAGTTTTTGATTGAAACAAGCCAATAACCCAGACGTCTTGGGCTTTGCTTTTCGCGTCACTAATAGAGTACTTTTACGGCAGCCATAAACAATTTTCTATTGTTTGTCCTTCAACACGACTGACATGAAAGAGGGTCCTGAAGGGGTAAAATGGGAGCTGGGAAATGGGATTTTATGCACTGGGAATGGGATTCACAAACCCCCCAAAAAATAATCCAAAAATGGGATTGAGATTTGAGCAAACATAGGCTGGGACTAGGGTATTTGGTCAAAATGGGGGCTCGGAAATGGCATTAAGACTGCCCTTTCAGCACCCTCATACTTGCTGCATCTTTCCGGCTCACATTGTGTTTTCCTTGATTATTTTCCAGGAACCATCTGAAGGAGGAGTGGCTAAAGACACTTTCGGTGGAAGGTACGTGAAAACCTTTGGTATAGTTGTCAATAAACAAGTTAAGACATGTAATAAAGCCCCCTTGATTAGCACGGTGAACCGAGGAGAGTGTATTACACAATACTGGAGCACAACTTCGATCCAATGCTACCAACTTGGTAAATGAAGTCCTGTTTTTTTCTCTAATGTATCTTTCGAGAACGCAACCTTCTCTTTTTCATTCCGCAACGGAAACTTTTCCAGTGGAGTCAAAGTGGCACCTTGCGACCTTAAACCATGTCAAAGGAAGAATACATTTAGAATATATGATTTGATCAAATTCACTAGCATAGCCTGACCCGCAAAGCTACCTAATGGCGTCAATGTAGCACGGTCTGAGTTTAAACCATGAAAAATGAAGAATGCATTTCGAAAAGAGGATTAAATCAAATKTATTAACTTAGCCTGATTCGCAAAGCTACCATACAGATTATATATAAATAATCGTTCAAAATATTTCAGAATGACAACAGACTTCATAGCTGAGCGATTAGGACATTCTAATTTTGCGGAATTAAGGGAGCTGGACTTCCCTAGCTGTTCGTTAAGAACTGTGGACCTTGGATCAGGTGAACAGTTCCTGAACTTAAGAAGGTAAGGTACTCATTTAAGTAGTAGCCATGTCACTCACCCTATCCAACCCGCGGCCTCACACATGTATACATCAGGTACGCATTTATTACGCGTCGTGCTACTCCTTACACGGACTTCAATGCAGTTTTTGCATGACTGTAAAAAACCTAAGTGCCGTGTGCGTACATTGCCGTGAACGTGATGTTTTCTAGAATTTTGATAGGCTAATTTGTTTCTCGCGCAATGTAGTTGGTCTGGCAGAACCGTGACTTTGGCGTGAAGGTGTTTGCCCCCTGTTCGTGCCGTGGTCTGGGTACTTGATGTGATGGAGAGTAAATTGTCATACCATGTGATTGGTCAGGCATATGCCTTGCCGTGTTACTACCGCGTTCGTGCCATGAGCTTTTCACATTCGAAAACTGCTCCAACAGTATATACCACGCGCACGTTTCTATCTATTTCTATGCTTAGTTTTTAAGAGGATTATTTTCTTCGCGTGCGCAAATCCACAAGCAAAAGCCTTTCTGAATGTCTATAACTTTTACCACTTCTTTTTTATCCTTGACTCTAATTTCATTGTTCGTTTTTCTTTTAGCGTCAACCTAGAGCACAATTCACTAACTTCCTTTGGTGGACTCATTAACCTGGTGCACTTGAAGGTATTATCCCATTCAATTTAATTCATTTTGACAACAAAAAAATCTAAATGTTTTCAAAGTTGCTTGCTTTTATCATCTATGTGTTGTGATCGGTTCAAAAGATGCATGCCTTCTATCATTAGCATAATTATTTGCCGAGGGCGAAGTAATTATCAGTAAATATTCACCATAACTACTAAGCCTGAGGGGAATTGTTTTAGTATAATTTTAAACTTGAATATATGAGAGAAAAGACGAAATTCGGAATTGAGAAAAAAACGTTTTAATATTACATTCCCTCTGGCAAATTATGGGAAACCTCCACGCAAAACTCTATATTCAATTCTAAAAAGATAAAAAATCATTATATTATAGCTTTTCTTTCTTTTTTTTTTTTTTTTTTTTTTTTTTTTTTTTTTTTTCGTTTTTCCTTTCGTATCTTCGTTTTCGAGTTGCTCTTCAAGTCACATGATTCGGTGATTATTCTGGTTTATAAAATTTATGATGCATGACATAATGTTATATTTATGCAAATCTCAATGTTGCAAGGAGTGAAAGTACATGCAGTAAAAGGCAATAATATTCGTATCGGCGATGAATATGCATAATATGACGAAGATATCTTTCTAATAGTATTACAATCGTTACCATTAGGAGCAGTGTTCATGGAACGCTAGACGTCCGTCTAACAGAAGACTGCATCTTTGAAAAATATTATTCAAAGAAAAATACGCTATATATAACTGGTGTCGGTATTACATGAAAATCATTAATCAGATGACAGCTAGCAGGAATTTTGGACACGTATCAAGTTACCTAGCCCACGATTACCAAACAACGCGAAGTAAGATTGTCAATTATGGAAGAACAAGAGGCGCAAGCAGAACTCTCTGAAAACGATAAGGTTGATAATGGGTCGCCAGAAGACAATGAACTAGATGAACCAGAAATGAAGACTCTTGAGGCGATAAGTATACAAGATGAAGCTTATTTCAATAGTTTGAAAACCCAGAAGAGCGACTACACGTTCAAAATTATGTGTGTTGGGGATTACACAGGGTTTGGTAAGAAGGGTGGTTTCGTGGCTGACTACATTCATGAACGTCCTTTAAGTTTTTACCACAAACCAACAATCGGCGTAGACTTTTACATTCACTTTCTAAAGTGGAAAGACACCGTAAAGAAGAAAGAATTCAGCGTTAAATTGCAGTTTTGGGATGTCGCCGAACACGAGAGGTTTCTGAATATGACTGGAATTTATTGCCGTAATTGTGCTGGTGCACTAGTATTTTGGGGACCTAAAAGCCCCTCTAGATTAAGTAGCACTTTAAAGTGGAGTCAGAAAATACAAGAAGCTAACACTGGTGATCGTCCTATGGTTCTAATTGTTGAAAATATTCCTACATCGAGGCGAGGAAAACCAATAGAATGGATCGGTCCTGGAAAAATGTTCGAAAGTCGCGAAGCTTTAGACCGATTTTGCGTAAAAAATGGATTTCTAGGATGGTTTGAATTAARTTCACGGCAGGGAGAAGGCTACAACGAAGTAATGAAGCAAGCAATTAACTGTTTGGTGGATAAAATCTTTGAAAATACAAGTACGCAAATTTCATGATCAGCGTGTAAGGTATGCAGAAGCCAGATTGACACATCCGGTCTTAACACTTCCGGTTCGTGCTAACAAAGCATGTCTTCTGTATTCCTTGATGCACTTGGATCAGGAGTATGAATTCAATAGGAAACAAAACAAAAACACAAATACTTTGTGTATTTCAGAAACAAACAAGTGGACAGGAATATTCTTCAATAGGACGTTTTGGCATGATGGCTTCATTTGACTTCCACTACCAAGGTGGTTTTTCAAATTTTCTTCCTTATTTAAATTTGTATTCCCTCATGAGAATAGTAATGCAATTGGTGCTAACTAACTGAACAAAAGAAAGTGTGCAAGGGANTTTTTTTTTTTTTTTTTTGCTACAGTTATAATGGTATATCAAATATGGCGACCTTGCAGCTTTCTAGGTTACCAAATCTAAAGGCTCTCTTCTTGCAAGGTAACTATTTTGCTATGATATTAAGCAGACGCATCAGTTAGCATCATTTGTTATCATTATCACTATCATTATCATTATTTTCGTGTTTAGATTATCTTACTCGTTCACTTCGCTCACTCGTAAGATATCCCTTCAAGACTCGATTACAAAATCCGTATCTCCGCGCGGCCATGTAATATCCTCTATTCATTTTATAGATATCGATGAAATACCAGGTTTTCTCTAGTGTCGAAAACTTGATATCTTTCATCAGTGGAAGATACCATATCTTTCACACGTGAAGATATCGCTGTTGACATAGTAACGTATTTTAATAAAGAATTTTTGAGCTTTTGTTTTATTTAAGTTTCATCGATATCTATATAATAAACAGAACATTACATGGCCGCTTGGAGATACGAATTTCATCTTCTTGTGTTCAATTTAGATATCAATTGAGCACTCGAAGATAAAATTCGTATCTCCGCGCGCACATGTAATATCCTCTATTTACTGAATGGTATTTCTTGCTTTAATTAGGAAATGAAATTGCTAAAGTAGAGGGCTTACAGGGACTACAAGAACTGCGTGAGCTTGTATTAGACCGCAATAAAATAAAGGTATGGTAATAGAAATCTTACACTTCTCAAAGGTATTTTAAAAAAGGTTTTATAGTAAGACACGAAACAGTGTAAATGATGAGGACTCTTAAAACTCCAGCGTATGCGGGCTTAGTCTCGAATCCAGAAGTTGCTTGTTTTGTCATTCTAATTTCTACTTTTGTTTCCCGACCTCGGAAGTGAGACTTAGGCCCCGTCCACACGTATCCGGAAATTTTTGTATCCGCAAATTATTTTTTGCGGATACGAAAATGTTTGCGTCCACACGCAGCGTATTCGAATTTTTTTCACCGTCCACACGTGTCCGTTTTCGTAGAATTTGCGGATACGGTCACAAAGATTTCCGGACACGTGTGGACGCAACCCGTATCCGCCAAAAAGACAATTGCGGATACAAAAATTTCCGGATACGTGTGGACGGGGCCTTATACCGCATACACTTGAGTTTTTTAGAGTTGTCAATAGCAGCTTAAGCTTGAAATTTCCATTTTTACTGCATCCTACTGCATGGCAAAGGAGTGAGTGACAGCTGATGACACAAAGTTTTTGGTTTGTTTTTTTTACGTATAATATAGACTTTAAGATATAATTGTTTGTTTTTGTAGGGGCTATCGGAACATTCATTTATTAATCAATGGAATCTTGTTGAACTACACATGGAAGAAAATAGGTAAAAATCCCAACACTTTTCTTTATTTTTCCATTCTGTTACCCTACTAGCAAGAGAGTCCATTAATCTCGCGCTTGGGGATCTAAATTTCGCCAAATTTAAACAATTATCAGATGTCTGTAAACCGGTAGCCATTTGTAAGTCACAATACTATCAACTGTCATATGTATCTAACATCACATATATCACAGGCAAGCTGTAAACCAGAGCCTATGATGCGAGGCAAAATACTATGAAGTCTACTGATCTAACATCATAAATATGTGTATTCACCATTTTCCATGCATCGGTTCACTGGTCAAACACAAAGTCGAGGTTGCAAGGTTCAAATTTGAATAATCCTTTGTAAGTTCCTTGGCGCCTCGCTTGAGCGCTTTGTGTTTGACCAGTGAACCAATGTTAAAAAATGGTGAATGCGCACCAACCAATTACTGACAAGCTGCAAACCGGAAGCGATGTATTGTAACATCCTTTGCGTTTTTCAGGATTAGGGATTTAAATCATGTTGAATCGCTACAAAATTTACAGCGACTGTACGTTGGGATGAACAGAATCCAGGTAGGAACATAATCATTACTGATTTCAACGAAGAACGAAGGGGGGGAAATATTTCGCGTACTGGAAGAGGAGAGGAATGAAGGAGGAACAGGAAGTATAACTAGAAAATATAAACTAATGTTCGTTGTTGTTTTTTGTTTGTTCATTCATTTGTTTTTTGGTTTTTTTATTTTTATTTTTATTTTTATTTTTTTTGTTCTGTTCTTTTCTTTTCTTTTCTTTTCATTTGCCTGTTTCTCATGAAATGAGCATATATAATATTTCAGAACATTTATCACAATAAATCTTCCTCTAGGACTTCACAGAACTGGAAAAGCTAGAAAGTTTATCGAATCTCATCGAGCTGTCTGTCATCAACAATGCAGTATGTAATCAGTATATTAGTGACTATCTTTATTGACGTGACACTGGATGAGTGGAGCATTTTTATTGGATAACTAGTCTGCGCATTGTGAGTGGTTTAATAATGTCCTCGAGTTCAGTCTGGTACCATGAAAGTGACGCGTGCCCTGCAGTTCAAATCGTCTCTATGAAAATAACGGTGACGATGATGATGATGATGATGATAGTGGCAATGATGATGATGATGATGATGGTGGTGGTGGTGGTGGTGGTGGTGGTGGTGGTGATGGTGATGATGGGGATGGTTGTGGTTGTGGTTGTGATGACGATGATGATGATAATGGCAATAATGATGGTGATGATGGTTGTGGTGATGATGATGATGATAATGATGCGCACGATGATAATAATTAATGATAGAGAAGAAGAATAGCGATGCTAGTGTTGGTTATGGTAGAGGTCGTTACACTAATGATATAATGGCGCTAAAGACGACGACAGCGATAAAGATGATGACTGTCTTCATAATTTATTACCGGCATTTCGTTCACAGGTCACGCGTCGCCTTCTTCATCGTCCAATGTTAGTTTTCAGAATGCCTAGTTTACTTTGTATCGACGGTATCCCTGTGTCGCCTGAAGAAAGAACGAAAGCAGAGATCTACTTCCTGGAGCAACAGGTGAGTTACAAATACATTGTATTGTAACTCATTATCAGGCACTATCCAAACACTATCCAAACACTGCCCATCATGTGCTATTCACCAAATGGTATACGGTCCTTTGACTAAACGTTGTCGTTTGATCGGCTTCATCCCTACGCGCCTAGACCGAAAAGGATCATGGGGATAATTAATTTACAGTTACTAGCTGCCGCATATGTTATCTAACACGTCTTGAGCTCGCTTTTTTCGATCCCATTTAATTTGCTAAAACCATGTCTCGAGCATACGGAGAAGATTTAAACTGGCGAGCAGTTTGGATGACGCAAGTTCTGGGTAATTTACTCGTTATCCTTTTCGGTCTAAGCGCGTAGGGATGATCCAATCAATGACAACGTTTAGGCAATGGACTGTATGATTTTGGTCCTCGCGCAAAATGAGGCGTCAGAACCAGGATTTTCATCAGTTCAATAGCGTCAAATTCAAATATTCTACTTGACTGCTCTCACAAGATGAGTTTCTGATGTTTATCAGAAACTCATCTTGTGATAAGACTGCACCAGCCATAAACTTTACCAGTCATTAACAATTATCCATGTACTTTTCTTATTACAATTTGTCTTATACTGATGTCTAAGCCTGGAACACATGCCCTATGCCCATCTAGAGCAGATATTTTCAAATTGTAACTAATCCACGGTGTTGGCCTTGCGTGCCCATTTGTAACCGTCGCGTTTGTCCAAGTTATTTATTGAACGATCACCTAAGTAAATATTTCGCATTGCCAAGCAAAATAAAAAATATTTGTGATAAAAGTTTTAGTTGTGCGCGAAGCGCTCAGTGTTAGCATTATTTCTCCCTGAGTTCGTTAGGAGTAAGGCTAACTGGAGTACAACATTTAATAATTGATTTTCTCTCCATATTATTTTAGAGTATGCAAGGCAATAGTATGACTATCGAATCTGCTCTTCCTGGTATCGTAAGTGCCCGTCAAAGTCAAGCACCCTTAAGGGTAAGTAGATTCCTATTCCCTACCTTCTGATCACCGTTTCTGAAGTGCAAAAATTCTGAATGATCTCATCAATTAAGGAACTTGGTGACATTATTCAGAAAGCATAGATGGCGGGACATTGCGTCAATAATCAGCTGTCATCGTTCTGGTACGCTCTTGATTTCTGCGGCGATGTTTTTTGTCCTAGCCAGCGAACAGGCAAAGAGCAAGGAAAGGGCGAAGGCATTAGGCTGTTCATTGACTTATTATTGCACCGGGTTCAAAACATCGCCATATTAATCATTATTTTTTAAAAAATCGGCATTTTAATTACTACTCTTTTCAGTAGACCGAGGCAGAGTAGTATGTGGTCCCGGGCTTCACCAAGGCTTTACCAGTAAGAATATTGCATTTCCTTGCTATTTACAGGTCACTACTATGCACCTCAGCAACACTGAGAGAAATTGGAGCGGTAAAACCAGACAGGATAATATTAATAGCGTATCAAGTAATGGTGATTCACGAGATTCTAACAAAGGTATGGATACATCGTGTCTGTCAGACACGCTAGTGTCTAATACCCAGATCCCTCTCGACCAGACCCTGTGCTGGAGACGAAAGAGAGTCTGGGAAAAAGGTTAACTTTGTTAACCATATTTGGGTCATCGAACCAGGCAGTGATTGAGCAAGTTTCGTAAAGTGACGTATCTCGACCAATCACAGCCTGACCTACATCTAGTCAGACGCCTTTAAAAAAATACAAAAATAACATAACTAAAGCAAACACAAAAATGGCGGTCACATTCATTTTTGATCATTCAACCAAATACGAAAGAGCATCTTTCGTATGACGATGAAAAACGTACGGTACATACAATCCGTGCCGTGCCGTGCCGTGCCGTGCCGTGCCGTGCCTAAATAGATTTTTCATCGTCAATTCCGCTGGGTTGCCTGTGGCAGCCCAGTAATAGAAGTGCTTTTGTATTCTATTTTTTGAATATTAGCCTTTTGTTGCCTGTGATAGCAAATTCAAAGAAATGCCTTTGGCATTCTATTTTTAAATTATTAGATTTTTACTAGGTTGCCGGTGGTAGCTCAGTCATAGAAACGCTTTGGTATTTTATTTTTTAAATATTTGCCTTTCACTGGGTTGCCTGTGGTAGTCAAGTCGAAGAAATGCCTTTGATATTCTATTTTTTTAATTTTTACTGGGTGCTGGCTGTGGTAGCACAGTCATACAAATGCCTTACGCATTCTATTTTTAAATTTTAAATAAATAATTCCTCGACTGGTCGGATGTTTACCAAACACAGGACAGCGCCGCGTGACGAACCAAAAAGGACCCTCAAGTGGGCCAGTGCAAACAACCAATCCGTATCCGTCAGCAGATTCCTACAGCCATGTCAATATTGATAGGCAACTTCGTTCCCATAGCAACTCCAATGTTACTAATGCACAATCCTCTTCGCGACAACCAGGCGGTTCCAACTCTATTTCTTACATACCTCACGGTTTCACGTACCCCAATTATCCGTACACTAATGATGGCGATGCAAGAACAAGAAAGGTACAGAGTTATGTATTATTAGAATTTCATATTCTAATTCATCATCATCATTATCATCATCATCGTAGTTATTAGCAGTATTGGTATCATAATTATTGTTATTATTTTAACAACATAATATTAATATATTATTATTATTAAATAGTTAGTTGATACTATATTAAAATATTCACATGGTTCGCACAGGCCTTGAAAAGTCCTTTAAAATGCATTCGGTACTTGAAAACTCCTTAAATTCTAAAATTTTGATTTTTGTCCTTGAAAAGTCCTGGAATTTTTCTTTTGACTCCTTGAATAATTCATTTTTATCCTGGAATTTCTTGGGTACTATCAAAAAAATTTTTTTTCATCTTTAGAAAGAGGAAAACCTTGGTTAAAATTACAAAAATAATTAAAATAATACATAAAACAGTAATTTCCGGTTGTTTTGCGATATTGTGGGTAATTTTTTATATTGATTAAAAATGCATTCAATTTCATACTTTGAGAATATGTTTAATTTTTCATATTATTGAAATGAAAATAGTCCTTGAAAATGACCATTGAGTCCTTGAAACGTCCTTGAATTTTTTTCTTAAATTTCTGTGCGAACCATGTATTCAGATTTTGTGCTAATTAAAAATTCCAGGCTTTTTTATTGGCTTAAATCTATCACGCGCTTTCATATGTCTTTATTACTAAAGGTTTTAGTCTTATTACTCTAAAAATGACTGAAATTTTTTTTACAAAACTTTTAGATGCGTCAGTCGAGAGAAAATAGCCTTTTAAAAACGGAAAACATTGCCTTGTTGTCGAACCTTGTCTTGTTTTCAGGGTTATATGATATTGATTTTGAAGAAGTACTATTTTTTTACGTACTGTTTAATAAACGAGCAGGAGTGTTTTATCGGGTATAAAACACGAGGCG